CATGGTAGACTATGGTGCTCAGACTTGCATGAACCTCGCCCTTATCTCTGCCTGCCTTTGCACAGGGCATTTGCACCTCGCCACATTCGTCTACTAGCACCACTGACGCTGGGACCAATAGATCAATCCATGTGCGCGGTGCGCCACAAACGCGCTGAATACCGCTGACCTGACCATGCCCACTATGTACTGACAAGAACCAACGCAGCAATCACAATCGACAATAGTGAAATGCGCGTCCATCAAGCCACCCGATGAGAGCACATTGCAGGGCTGTAAGCCTCATCTTGATGACTGGGTGATGCCGAATGTCTGACTGTTGACCCAGTTATTTGCTATACTGGTCATTCGCTCCGTTCAATTGGCCCAGAGGGGCGACTTGCAGTCTCATTCAAGTGTAGGGAGTTGCTGCCACCCGTTCAATTACTCAATTTGTATCTCTACAGCCGCATACGTTCATATTGCACGTTTCTGGACCGAATCACCCGCATTCGGGTCAGCTGCGAACCTCGTATACCAAGGATCACAAGGCCAGCGCAGCGACAGGCCAGGTGGACTGCATTTGGCGCGTGCCGAGGCCATTTCGCCCAGTTGCAGTCTCGGCTGCTCGTCAGAACCAGCTGCGAAGCGAAATCCAAAAGTGACAAACTTCTTCGCGGCTTGGCCCGGCCCGCGGTAGTGAAGTTTCAATTAACTTGTCATGGCGCTCCCAAGTCGCACCAATGTTGTCTGCTGCTTCTATAATATATCCCACGGTTGCTCAAGGGGTGACGAGTGCCGGTTCGTCCATGACAGTACGACAAAAGCGCACACCGCCGTATTGTCAACTGCCATGTCAGGGCAAGAGATGACAACGCCACCAGTCTCTACAAAACCGGCAACGATCTTGGATCCTCTGTCTCCGAAAGCTCAACGACCATGCAAATGGTTCCAAGCTGGGTACTGCCGCAGAGGCCAGGAGTGTTGGTTCGCCCATATCTCCTCGCCAGAAGGATCCAATCCGGAGGGACAAAATGCTCAAATTCAAGCATCAAGGAGCGGAGCAAAGAAGGCGTCGGAGCCCGCGGCTTGCACTTCTTCGAGCGAAGCGGTCAAGCAAGGCATTGCATCTAATAAAGTTGCGGAGGATGGGCCTATATGCGGCATCTGCTTGGAAGTCCCCAGCTCCTTTGGCTTATTAGGTGAGCTGTCAAGCAAATGTACTCTGAGTGCGATGCTGATGCAATCAATGCGACGTACCTCGCCCCAACAATTGCGCTTCCTCCAGAGAAATGTTCGCACCCATTCTGCCTCGGTTGTCTACGATCTTGGCGCAGGGGAAAGGAGAGAGGCGAAGGGCCCGAGGCGAATGCCATTCACAAGACTTGCCCCATTTGCAGAGCTCGTAGCTTTTTCATCGTCCCTTCCAACGTCTTCGTTCCCGCAGGCGCGGAAAAGGACCGCATCGTTGCTCGCTATAGAGAGCATCTTGTGAGGACGCCATGCCGAAATTTCGAGCGCACCAAGTATTCTCAAAATCACCCTTACTGTGCATTTGGAGGTGAACCAGAACAATCCTCCCGTGAGACAACTGCAAAATACCATTGAACTGAATCAGGTCAATCTTCTGTAGATGAATGTTTCTACGGACATCGGATCGGCGACAAGCCATACAAATTCCACATGAACGCAGTGGAGATCCGTCGGTGGAATCGGTCCCTTACGAGGGGCCAGTCTCGGCGATCACATACATACGACAATTTCTTTAGCGATGATGACGACCTTGCGACTTTCATGACTCACATTCATCCTCGCCTGGATGACCTTACTCGCGCCCTGCATGAGTTCGCTGAAGACTATGATTCATACTTGGGCAACGACGATGACGGCTACTTTGGCAGCGATGACGAAGTCGGATGGACGAGTCATTTTGATGACGAAGATGAACTCGACCGCGTACTTGATTTCTCCCGCATCGCTTTTTGAAGTCTACCTGTTGCCGAATCACAGGACAAGCTCGGCGACAATTGCCCCTCCGTCACCCTTCACAGTTCACATGAGATTCAGCGAGCAGCGCATATTTGTAGCATACATAGCCTTTGTTCTCAAGCACATGCTCTAATTAGTTTCCCTTCACTGGCTGGCCGTGAAGTGAGTCGTCGCGCTCGCCCGAATCCTGATGGCGGCTTGCTCTGCCGTTAAGTCTCTTTGCGGCTCACCCAACATTTCAAATCTACAATGGGGTCCCAGGTCAATGGTGGTCTCTCTTGTCAGCTCGATGGAATAGCAGTGACTCACCCAACAATGAATTTGCGAACGGTGGCGCTCCGAAGAAGAGGGGGATAGAAGTGAATGTGGAAGTGTGCAAACTCGCCGAGGTCTTTAGTTTCCGCGGTGGCACCCTGGTGTCCTGTAGGAACAGGTTTCTGATGAATGCCCATGCTGTAAGGGAAGCTACATTCGAAAATGTTGTCCAAACGGCATGCCACCTGGCCCAGTAGCGACGCAAGGGCAGACAGCTCTTCCTTCGACATGTCTTCAAGCGAGCCGATTTGACGTTTGTACGGAAGGAGAAGGATTTCAAAAGGCCATAGTGCCCAGTAAGGAACGACGGCGACAAAGTGCTGGTTCACATCGACCACGCGCGGCCGGTCCGGGAGCGAAAGCTCGTATGCCGCATACGTGAGCAGTAGAGATGGTCTGCCTGCATTGTCTTTGGGCGGCCGCAGGACTGTATCGTAGTTCTTAGGGTCGAGTGCGTATTTCTTGAGGTTACGTAGTACTTTACCAGGCTCCTCAGGAATGTAGTCCAAACTCCAGATCTGACCATGCGGGTGCGGATTGCTACAGCCCATAGCCGCGCCCTTGTTTTCAAAGATTTGGACGTATTGGATGAACGGATTTTCGCGAGGAATTTTGCTGTAGAGCTCCCTCCACGTGTTGATGACGGGCAAAATGTGATCCTCGGCCGAATAAGGCGCCGTGGTGAGCTGGGCGAGAGTTAGATTGTGGGAAGGGTGAAAGCACACAACATAGCATCTCCCACGTGCATTTTGCGATCGAAGAAGCGGGTGCTCTGCGGTAAGGTCGCGTTAGTGCATGTCGGAAGCCCTCCTGTCCGAAAACGCATCGGCTCACCTTGAGGTGCGGGTTCCGCCTCCTCTGGCTTCAGTGCTGCAAAGTCGTTTTCGAAATACTACGGAAATGGACCCTTCGAATGTCAGAAGATTCTCGTCCTTCGGGCAGCCTTCGCGCCATTTTGATTGCGCACCGTTGTGGATATGTACTTTGGGTTGTGCTCCCCAGTCGCTCGGGGATTGCCAGGACAAAGGTAACATTTCGGATCGTACTCGGGCAATTCGGGCCCATCTCCGCCCTCCTGGGCACCTTGCCATGGGCGCTTCGTCCTGTGCGCTACGAGGACGGGCACGGCCGGGCCCAAAACATGAAGTCAGCAGCATATACCCGGCAAGACAAGCCTGAAGGTGAAAGAGTCACGTACGGGAGCACAACACCCAGCTGTCAGTGAGCGGGTTCCACCGGCGGTGTGGATGCTCAGATGGGTCGAATGGCTGCATGGCAACACCCAGCAGTGTTGTGAGACGCAGATAAGTATCAATTTTCTGATCGAAGCTCTGATGCTTCTTTTTCCTGCCTAGCGGTAGAGAGGCCGAGCAGGCGAATAAGGTGGACAAGGTACGATCTTGACTCCAGGCGTTGTTCACTTCAATCTACTGTTTCCTGCTCTCATCATCTCCATAAAAGGGGGAGATGTGAAATGCGGAGGGGTGAGGACCGCGTTGCCTGTTCACTGTTTGGGAGGTTGGCCTTGGGTATCCTACTCCCGAGAGTCCAAGCAACACCAAGTTCAAGCGCGCACGACACCCGGAAGTCTGTCTCCACTTAAAGGCATCACGCAGAGATCGCCGACGAGGACTGAACGCGACTGGACACGACTCACAGCTGTGGAGTACTAGTGGGTGGTGCGGTTGCACTCGTAGAAGGTGGGTCAACATGGTCCAAAGCTGCATACATATGATATCATCGTTTGCTGGCCACGGGTCACCCATAGTGAGCCCGGCTCAACGCTCAGCGCTCAATCACTTCTTCCATCTTTCCATGCCCCAAGGTCATCACAGAGATGTGGATGTCTCTTGCTTGACAGGCTTGCTGTCTTGAGAACGGACCAGCGACAGTTGAACGCGAGGGCGGCGCCACATCGTATGACTTGTGCATACATCGCAGTCATCGCACAACCAGCCGAAATCTTGAAGGAGGGACTTAGGCTCCTACAACGTGCCAATAATGGACAACATCGAGGAAGCGTTTGATGCCGCTCTTCGGAGCGCGGACAGAGCTTTTGAGGAAAGCCAAGAGCGTACATTGCTGCCTTTGACCAGCATTCCTTACGCTTTGGAACTACTCGGCCTTGATCCTGATGACTCGTTTGTGCTCGATCTCTTCAAAGACACTGCCGCGCCCATGACGCCCGGGAAGATTAGACGTGGCGCAGAAGATCAAGGCGTGCCATTCGGCCAATTTCGACAAGTTTGCGAGGTGTTGCTGTCTTCGACTACAAAGAAAGAGTATCACAGGCCCGGATCAAGCTTGATCCAGCGTGGGCGTCGTCACGGCGTCTCAGTTGACGTCCCCAGCGAAGCCAGTGAAAGCGAGCTTTCTGACTGTCAAGGTTCCGGCGCAGATGACGAATACCTCGATGATGAAGAGTGTCAGTCAGAAATCGGGGAAGATGGCGATTATCATGCTGCAGCGCCACCTCTATCTTCTAGAGTCACTGCTAAACAGGCAGGAGAAGCAGCTGAGGTGTTGAGAATCCTCCAGAGTAAGACCGGGAGTAGGCCAGGAGTGCCGTCAACTTCGGGGCTTTCCGCTCAGGACTTACGCGATATCGCCGCCAATGTTGGAGAAAAGCTTTCCGAAAATGACGTGAGCCTTGACGTATGCTCGAAGCCCATCTGGACCTAGCCGCTGATGCATCATAGAGACCCACCTAACACAGGCCCAAGAGATGATTGAAGAAGCGGTTAAGATTCGGAAGATACAGGCCTCGGGAAGGATTAGTATTCAAGAAGGTTCTCTCGTGGGCACCGAAGAGTGGGCTTAAGTCTCGCTGAATTGCTCGTTTTCACAGCATCTGACGTCTACGTCTTTCCAGGCTCATTGCCGTCCTCCGCAGGCTCAACGGAGCGTGATATCATCCTCGCCTTGCTAATGCGCTTCGAACATATATCGCCATCGCACTGGATATCTAGCTCCGTATGCTCTTAGCAGAAGCTTGGTCACTCGCCGAAGGCTGAGGCATTGATGTCCGGCGACGCACGACTTTGCAGCTGTCCCTATCGTTAGTGGCCATTCCATGAAAGCTTTGCGCTGTTTACGGGCAAGTCACTTGCGTATAGCGCCGTACCTCGCTTCGGCAAGGGGCATCAGATGCGGTCGGAGGGTCGGGAAACGATCGTGATTGACTACAACGACGTTGCCGTTAATCTGGAGCGCGCCCCGTCAAACACGTCGGGCCATTACTCACGCGCCTTGCAACCCGCGTGATTGATAGAGCATGAAGCGTCAGTGGCAATATTTTTTCGACACTTGGTACTACGGAGTACCTGTCCGAAATACCAGCGAGACGAACACACAGACACATAAAAGATACATACAGCCTGGCATCGCCATCTGTCGATGTCACCAGCCCTCTCGATATATCAGACCTCAAGATGACGCGAGCATCGCGGCGGCAGGGTTAAGCAGGAGGAGGTAGGAGAATTTCAGCGCATGAGGCCCTTTTGCCGGCCCCGCGTCACTAAAGGACATGAACATCGCTTCAATTGTGGCTCTGTTCCTCTCTAGTATCTCGAAGGTGGAGCATCAAGCAACTGTCGAGCGATCCTTTTCGTGTTCACAAATTCAGGCGAGCTGGACGTCCTGATCTTTGCGAAGACCTCATATGCCGAATCTCTCGCTGCCTCGTTCGGTTCACTCGAACTCTCCGCCATGAGGCGAGAGGCGCTCACGCATGTCCGCCATTAAAGGCTGTTGCAAGGCTTCAATCATATTCCCTTACATCAAGAGACAGTTTCGATGAGATTCGGCATGCTGGAGGGAAATATTAAGCTTTAGAGTTTGCGCAAGCAGGCACGACGGGCTGTCAATAGCTGATGAAATGATGCGCAAGATGTACAGAGGGAAAATATGGAGAGGAAAGGAAATCAAGGGCTTAAGCCAGCATGCAAAGCGAGTTGCGGACGGCCATAACACTGCATTCGTATCGGCCATCCCCTCTGCGCAAGATCTGGCCAGCGGCAAGGCAGATAGCGCCTTCGACGACAAGTGAGCGCGCGCCCAGCAATCAGCGTAGTCATGCCCTTCGACAGCCGCAAAGCCACGCGCCCGTTCCTAATGCTCATCGAGAAGCCCCACACCGCAGCAAACGATGTACTCCAGGTAGTTGGGTATGCCCCGACATTGTCACGCAGCGGAGTACAAGGAGCTTGCGGGCGATGAGGATGGTGGACACAGCGATGGCAGCGACGAGATCGATTTCCTTCGCGGAGATGATAAAGTCGATCTCGTCGCTGTCCTCTCTGTGTCCACCATCCTCATCGCCCAAGCTCTTTGTGCTTTGCTGTGTCCCTTAGAAGTTTGACGTTGTCATTGAGCTCTGAACCGGCCCCTCGACGTCGCCTGTTACACTGGGCCGGAGGTCCGCAAGCACTTCCTTTCTGCTAGTTGCAAAGTCGACGGTAATGACGTCGTACTCTCACAGGGCGTCGACCCCCCATGATGGGGTAAGAGGACTGTGTTGAGGTCGACCGAATCATGCCGGTCATGCTGCCTTGAGTAGGAGCGGAGGTGGTGCCGGATCGTTTCCAGATCCGCTGTCGGCGTCGCTCTCGCTGCGTGGATCACATCACGTGTGGTCATCTGTCGCAACCCCCCTCCCCCACCGCCCTCCTCCGGCAGCCGTTGCGTTGGGCCAGCGTGCAGCGTGACGCCCATCTCATCGCACCATCCCCTTATCTCTGCGCTTCACATCTCGGCCCAATACAACCATATCTCCTTCGGCTTCTCCCCACTTTGCAACACGATGGCACATTGCCAAAGACCTCAGGCGCGAGGGCGCTTCGCCAAAGGCCGCCAGCACAAAAGTCCAAGTATAACCGGACCAGTTGTTCTTGATCACGAGGACGTGCCGTAGGTGCTGCGTGGGTGAGCCGTCTATGCTACAGTCGAGCCCTGGCATGCTCGCGCGATTTCGCGGTTGCTGAGAATGCGAGGAAGACGGTGGCTCAGGCCTATTATCCTCCCAGGGGCGCATGACTGTGGGCGGGTGCTGCTTGTCGATGGGAGCTCAGATGAGGTCGCTGCTGCTGTCCTGGAGGGTGACCGCGCCCTGTTCAAAGATCGCACTTGCCTTCGCCTGTGTCTCCGCCATAGTATCGATAAGGGTTACCACCAAGCATGGGACAAACAGGACATCGGTGTACGTCATCCGTTCCCAGCGGCGATCCTTCGGGTTGAACTGGCTCAGCCGGCCAACGCTTACTTGTATGGCCACGGGAAGGTAACTGTCGTCCACTGTCTTGACATAGCGATCTCCATCCAAGGCTTTCTAACCAGTTCTCAGCCGAGTTCAATGCAACATCACGTGGCTGCTCCCGAGGGCGAACGTCAATTCGACTCCCTTTGTCTTTTATGGATCTTCTGACCCTTTGTACTTGCGTTTCCGCCGCAACTTCCCTGAAAAGCTACCGGCGAGCAGCATCCTAGTCACTCGCCCGCGAGGCCTCATCCGCGGACGAGATTGGAGTCTCGGAGTAGCAGACGAAGAAGCTGGGCTTGACTTTGACACCAGGCGTCCTAAAGCGCTTCTTCTCCGTGATATCCGGGCACTGACTGTTACGGTGAACCTATCCACCGTAACCCCAGCAGTCGACTAGGTCCCTTTCTGGGTTGTCGCCCACAGTAAAGGCTGTGTCGTCGCTAGCACGGGCGGCATCCTCCTTCGTGCGCCGGGAATCGTTGGCGACCTGGTACACATTGTCGAGGGCTTTGGTGAAGTCGGTCAACTCGAAAGAACGTTTGACGCGGCGAAACTCGTTATCCTGGGACCCAAGACGGAGACGACGAGGGTGTGTCCTCATGTGAATGCGTGGATGAGGGGGTCGGAACGTTGCTGGGCTGGCCACTGGTCGGAAAATGTGCTCCTGCAGGTCACCCATCTTGCGCTCCCAGTTGCTAACGACCTTGTGAGCAGCGCTCTGGCCAACCCAGCGCATTGTTGCCTGCACGGACTCAAGCGAGACCTTCTTGGAGCGTGAAGCTGCGATGCCACGGTCGCACATCCCGCGGGAGAGCGATGCTTCCGTCATGGGAGATGCATTAACGTTCTTACGGCTGAACTGGGATTCGAGTTGCTTTGAGCAGGATTGGTAGACAACGGTGCGCATGAGCTTGCCAGCGATCTCATTGGTAGCTTGGGTGCTTTCGCGGACTGCCATCGCCCGCTCGATGGGCATGAGGGTGGTGCCAATGCATTTTTTCCATTGCATTCGCGACATGTTCTCGTCAAACTTGCTGCCTTTCTTTTCACACTCATACGATGGAAACGGACTCGCGCCTGGTTACTGGCTTCAAATCGACCCAAGGAGTTCAGCATGCGCAAACCCCCGGTGGCGGAAATCTGTTGATCACTTGCTTTGGCAGAGCCATGATAGCGATGGCGTTCAAGCCCACAACCCGTCAGAACGAGAGGATGGTGCACGCCAATGTTTTTGTTGTCCCACACTTGGTCAAGAACTCGATTTCCACCATGTCTTTCACAAGATCAGACTTCGCCACGTTCTCAGATGCCCGCGTCACATTCCAAGATGGCTCCAGCCGGAAGATGCGCATCGGCACTGACGGACATGCAGGCTATCCTTCCCCTGAGCTCATCATTTGGGAAGCTGGAATGCAGATGCCTGAAGTGCGAGTCATATTTGAGGCCCGAAGCCATCCGATCCCACTGGCTGCCAAAGTAGGCCAGTCGCTCAGCAGGAAGAACAAAGCAATGCTTTGGCATACAGGTGTGGCGTTCCATTTCGCCGCGCTGCTTCAGTTGCTACCTGTCCTGAGTTCCTGGCGACAGTCCGCTAAACCTTCCTGCCGCATGTGACACCTGCATTGTAAACAAAGCAACGCTCAGTACAGCAACACCTCTCAAGAGACTTACACCTGCTTGGATACGGTGCCTACCGACCTCATCGAACCATTGCCTTCCTCCACCTGCACTTACATTCAGGCCATCGTCGATCACCACTCTGGCATGGAGGGCACAACAATTGCACAGCAAGAATGAGGCTTTCCCAGAAATCCAGACGTGGCGGAAAGTGGTGCTGTTAGTGAGGCGGAGAGTTGCTCCGCCGGATCCACTGCGATCAAGGCAAATTGTGGTCGAGCGGCTTCCGAGTGTGGGCTGCAGGCCCCGGTATCAGGACGTCCGCAAAACCAGTTGCTGTTTCGGCCAGCAATGCTTATGCCGGACGCGGATAACTTCCAAGTTGAGGCAATAGCTTGCTCCCTGCCTCATGATAGCCGTCTGGCGGCACGTTTGTGATCAGACGCCATCCTAACTGCAGCGCATGCGATTAATCGGTGGGCCAGTAGCAACCGGCGTAACCGAACACCTTTAGAGATAGGGACTGGTAAGGCACCAGACCTCTCCAAACTGAGAATGTTCGGTTCTCTTGCTTATATTGTGCCGTGCGGTTCGACGAGCGATTCCTGGAGCCATGGCGGCACCCGTGTTAGCAAAGCTGCGACCTAGGGACGTCCCCGGAATGTACCTCAGTTATCGTGACCAAACAGGCAAACTAAAGAACCACAAGCCCTTCCTGCCTGCGCTCCAGCGCGGTGGTATCGCTTGCGACATTGTCTTCGATGCAGGTGCAGCGACAGCGCGGACGCGCGAGCCAATAGAGCGACGCACTTCTAAGCAGCACAGCCCGTAGAACACCACGAGGATGATGGAAGGTTCGAGAGCAAAGGCCAAGCTAAGGTGGCTGCATGTGAAACCTAGCACCTTCTGAATATATAAAGGGCCGTACATAGCGGCCACCGTTCGTGTAGCGTAGAGAACAACAAGAAGTTAGAGTATATTGGCCGTAATGAACCATTCCTTCATTAGGTCATGAGGCCAAACCCAACGTCTAACTTGACCACTCAAGAAGCTTGATGCCAAGAACCAAGATGCCAGTATATGTGACCTTGACAGGGGCCACGGTTAGCATCAAAGAGCTGCATGGCAGCAACTACGACGCATGGGCTTACAAAACCCGGATGCTAATGATTAAGACCGGCCTGTGGGTTTACGTGACCAGCACGGTCAGTAAGCCTCTGAATGACGACAGTACCGTCGCTGGCGCTTGTCATTGATGACGAGATCACTGGCTCGATCTGCATGGTGAAGGCATCTAAAGCGCTTTGGCTCTCAACGTTGAAAGCCAAGTACCAATCCACGAAGGGAGTTGCCCTCTTCATACTCAAGCGAGTCTTTTGGAGCGACAAGAAGGGCTCTTCAGAGAGCATTCAGGAGTACCCCGACCACGTAGCAATGATGTGCGGCAAGGTCAAAGCACAAGGAAATGACATGTCGAAGCCCGACTACTGCCTCGCCACCCACATTGGACTCGACTCATGCTACAACAATCATTTCAAGGTTCTCGAGCAGCTTGACGATCAGTTGACAAGGGAACACAATGACGCAACACTACTTCAGGAGGAGCTTCGCCAGCAATGCTACAGTGTCAGTGAGACAACTGGCACAATCATGTGCAGGAAGCATTCCAAGCATGCGAACGAAAGACGACTTACTGGATTACGGCAAGCAAGAACTACGTGCAAAGAGAATGTCGATCGAAAAGAAATGCATATTGTCACCTCGGCCGAAATCACCCGCCGCTTCGACAGATGCTATGACGACATTCACCATATGTAGCGTTGCCCTGCAGCGCACGAACGTCAATGAGACGCATTCCTTAACACGGGATCTTCGCACCACCTCGTTCTTCAAGGCACTGCTCTCACCAACCAGGCTAAGGACTATCCTGTCATCACGTTCGCCAATGGCACCACGTTGAATGCAGTGGCCCAGGGCGACAATGGACTGATCTGCGTCAAGACCAATAAAGGGAACATTGTCGACATCTATCTCAAGAATGCAACTGAGGTCAAAAAGGAATCCAGCGGGGCCTCATCATTGTCAGTGGAGTCAAACTCGTGGAGGCCGGCAGCTGCATCACGCTTAAAAAGGATGGTGCAGCGGCTGTAGAAACTACATGGTGGCCATAAAGGCAGGATTGCACAACGGTATCATAGCTCTCCCTGTAATGCTGAGAACCACCACCGTAATGCAAAACATGTCGGCCTATCCAGGTCGTGCAGGCGCGGACAGTGAGCCATGGCGTCAATACCTCGGCCATGCAGGGCGTGACTCTCGCAACGCAACCTGCAAGGCGAAGGGGCTACCTGTTACCGAAGCTGATCGCATATGTGAAGCGTGCCCGCTCTCCAAACGGCACCAAAAAGGGAGAAAGCAGAAGACGGCATGTGCTCGAAAGGGTGCACATGGACATTGCTGGATCTTTGTCCGTGGAGAGTGTAGTCGGTGCGCTTTCCTTCCTGACCTTCACAAATGAAAGGCTGGGCAATGTCTGGGTTCACACACTAGCAGATTGCAAGAATGTTGCCGACATCATCAACAATTGGATCCGCCAAGTAGAGAAGGCGACGAGCAAGGAGAACAAAGTCCTCTGCTCGGGCAACAGTGGCGAATACGTCGGCATGCGGGTGCAGCAACCCCTTCAACATCACAGTATCCCGCACAAAAGATCAGCTCCATACACGTCTCAACCTAACTATATTCAACACGATCCAAGCATGGATCAGCGCGTCGACGCCGAAAATGGCACTCTGGGGTGAGTTGGTCGCAGCAGTAACCTACACCAATAATCACTGCGCACGCATCGTATATCACAACGGTCGCATGAAAACTCATAATCCAGAAAAAACGTGTTGCAATCGCAGCGTATTGATCGACCACCTTCACGCAATAAGCTCAATGATCTACTTCGTGCATGGCGAAGCGCTGCAAGGCACCAAATTGGACGAGCGTGTAGCCAAGGGCACCCTCGCCGGGTACGACTGTGCCATGATGTATCCTGTCTGGATTATCAGCCTTAAGCAAGTCCCCCGGTTTCGATACGCGAGGCCATCGAGACACCGGACAGGCCCGCTTCACTGACGAAAAATGGAAGAAACCACCGGCTGCAAAGTCACTACTAGTAATACTCCCGGACCAGCCGCGCCAGAGCACACGCCAGCCAATCCTGTCGATGAGGGACAGAGGCTGTCACGGCAACAGACGCAAACATAACAACCCAAGGAGGAGCAACCCTCACAAGAGCGCCAAGTACCCAATTTGAGAATGGTCGACTCATGTCAGCAAGGCTCCTGCGAGGTCTAGCGCGTAGGGTCATCCTACTTACAATCCATCATCGCCTCCGATTCAGCAGAGCCTCTCACTTACACGGAAGCCTTCGGAATTGACAATGCTGACAAGTGTGAGATGGCAATCAAGCTTAAACTCGATGGCCTCAAGAACAACACAACATGGGCTGAGGTAAAACTACCATCGGGAAGTCGAGCCGTGGACGCAAATAGGTATTTACAACCAAATGCAATGGCGATAGTAACGTGTACCGGCCTAAATCAAGACTAGTGGCTAGTGGCTTCTCGCAGATCGAAGGAATGAATTATTACGACATGTATACGCCTGTCTCCCCACCGACTACCCTTCATACAGTATTCGCTCTGGTCGCCATGAACAGCCTGCTTTCCGTCACCTAGACGTTGAAATCGCCTACTACCTTAGGGCGATTGCGAGGAGGAAGTCTACCTCGAACCACCCGCCGGATTGCGGTGTTTGGCTGGCAAGAACTTGCGTTTGCGCAAAAGCATTTACAGAGCACAGCAAGTTGGCCAGACCTGGCACATGAAGTTCGACACGACCCGTTGTCATGTCAGCATCACCAGTGGCGAAGGCAACCAAAGCCTATACAGACGCACAATTGATGGCAACTTCACGGTCTTGGTGGCCTATCTTGACGACCCTGTCATCGCAGCTGAGCATCGGGAGACGGCCCTTCGACATTGACACATACTGCTTAAGTTCTCAGACTGCTTCAGCAATACCTCGGCCTACGGATCAGAGTCAACATGTACACACCGCCAGAGTTTCCGTCAACCAGGCGGCCTAAGCAAAATCGATACTTCGAAGGTTCGATATGGCAGAGTGTAAGGCTGTCGCAACTCCTGCCTTCAACGCGCAGAATTATGTGGATGCTAGCGAGACGATTGACACCAAGCATTCTACCCTGCAACTAGCGGATCTTTGCTCTACCTTGCGCTCGGGGATACAGCTTGACCTGGATTACTCGGTCGCCAGGGCCGGGTTGGACAGCGCAGAGCCAACAGCAGCAGCTTGGCAGTGTGCTAAGAGGATCATGCGGTACATCCGAGGGACCTGCATCCTTGGGATCGAGTGCAGGTGGGGAAGTGGCACGAACCTAGTCGGCGTCTGTGATTCAGGCTGGGAACTCGGAAAAGATAGGAAGTCTATAACGGGCTGCATTTTTTTTCATCCCATAAGGCATCATTAACTTGTTGCCACAAATGCCAAGCAAGGTTGCGTATTCTTTACAGCAGGCAGAGCTTATGGCAGCAAGGGAGGCAACAAGCGAGGCAGCTTGGCTACAGAAGGGTCTGCGGAATCTGCGTTCTCTAGTGAGCATGGTTATCGAGATCGACCACAATTGCGTACTTCACCACATTTTCGGCAATCCCAAGCATACAAGAAGCAAGCACCACAATGTTGAGGTCAAATATGAACGGGAAGTACATGAGAGTGGCACTGTCAAGTTCCAGAGGGTCGACAGCAACACCAATAGGGCCAATCCTCTTACCAAGCCGCAGCAGAGCAAGCAATCGGAAACGCATCACACAGTGCGGGCTTTCACGTGCAGCCACTGTAGCTTGGTCCTTGCTCCCAAACCTTCCATGACGTTCGACGGTTCTCTATGGGCGGTGATTCTTCGGCGTGCTTCGCTCTGTTGACTTGCGCGTCCGTGTCCGCGCTGACGCTGCTCTTGCGTCGTGTGCGCCTGGCTACCTTCGCCCCATAATCTCTAAACTTGAACCTGTCTCTCTATTTTCTTGATACTATGGACGCTCCGGGATTGATAAATGATATCTACGTGGTGGGGCTTACGGGCTGAAATCGTGCAGGCTTGAACTGCTGGGCTGTCTTGTGCTTGTTGAGCCGCATGGTGAGGTTTTTCGTGCTCTCCTTCGGAGAGGCAAATGCTACAGGACTTGATAGCATTTAAGGGCAGAATAGCCGTAAGGCCACCCTTGAAATAAGAAGAACCCAGTCCAGTCAGGGAATCGAGTAGGAAGAAAAGAAAAAGATCTGCTGCGAATGCATACATGGATGTAAGAAACGTGAGGGGCCCGACAAGTTTGGAAGTAAAGCGTTGATGAAAGCTAATGATGGTGTCGGTCGGCTGTGACGATCGAGCAGATGTCGAATCGCCTTGAGAATGGAAACGAAGAGATGCCAATTTTCATACATCAGCGCCTTGCAGAACTTTTGCTCATTCAGCGGTGTGAAGACCTTATGTCCCTTCATTTCTGGTGTTGTTCCACAGCCGCCGAAATGCAAGAGCCAACCCCATGAATGCTGCCTCGATATGACACACCAATGTCTTGGTCATGCCTGACAGTGCAGCGCCGCCCACAAGAAGCTGGCCGATACCGATGGGTTCGAAGGGTTCCCTTCGGCAGGTTCTGCGTCTGGAAATCCGGAATAAACATCATTTGGATTATGTTTCTTTTGGGCCCATCAGTCTGTCACCAGGGCTTTCAAAGGTGAAACTTGGAGGAAATGTATCTTTCTTAGCTTTGAGACGCACGTTACCGTCAGCGCCGTCATATGACGCATAACAGAACAAGCACGCCTGCAACGCAGCGGACGGCATAGGGAACCGCGGTGACCGCCTAAGTTATCCCTTCCTCCGAGAGCGTCGCTCACCAAAATTTGAAGGAGCTCTTGTCGCGCCTGCGTTGGCCCTTGTGGCGCAAGGCCCTATTTATATGTATGAATATGATGTACGCTTGCTATGATGAGGTTTCGATCTGACTTCCAGAAGGACGCATCTGCTGCTCACGTCTCGATAGACGACGCAATGACAGCCTGGTATGCCACACGATCATTTGCAGCAAAATTACCATTAAATGTTCAAGGACAGCATATCGCGGTCTGAGTAACGATCGCCGAAATGTTTAATCAACGCTTCGAGGCACTGACTAAGAGGAAGAAGAAGAGCGTCACCTCAGCCGGTCTGCCATGGCCCACGACTTCGGAAAGTGTTCCTTGACTACGACGCTGGCTTCGAAGAATGGCCAGATTTGCTCGCAGACGCGATATTGGCGTATCGATCCCCAATTTGCAGAACGCTTCAGCGCCTTGCCAGCCCAGTTCATGTATGTTCGAGATGCCACCTAGACGTCCGAGTGAGCAATTGTTGGACGCCAAGAAGACTGGAGCAGCACACCAACCACGACATCCAGCGCATCAACAGAGCTCAACACGGCCAGATCCCGAATCTGGAATAGCATCGCATTGCTGCCACCACACGGTACCGTCTGCAACGGCAGCAGCATGACGTCTGTCACGGGAGTTGCAACGCTTTAGTTTTGTTACGGATCGCCAATGTTGGAGAGATTCGTCGAGTTTGGCAGCCTCACGTGGGACCGCTGCGTGCCCAGCGGCCACAGGCCCTGCGTGGCAGTCGAAATGGGATTCTGTTCTAAGCCTTGGATTTGGCTGTGTCAAGCTCTGTTGATGCGCTGGATGTGTCAGGTGTGGCAGCGTTCTGTAGGACCGCTGCCTGTTGCTGCCGTTGAATGGTGATCTCGCGACAAAGCTGACGCATAGCAAAGGCAGCAGGCTTGAGCAAGGGAAGGGTCATTTTGACATACGCAGTGGCTCCTTGGCCCTTGTGACGCACAGCCTTGGCAGTTGAGGAGCGCGGGCCCGTGCGTGTAAAATTGAGTGTCCGCTATAGATTTGGCTGTTGGCCTGGGCAAAGGCTCGTGCGATTCTCTCGGCTTGGTAAGGTGCTCAAGCAAATGGTTTCCGTTGAGTATCTTCTTTTGTGAAATATACGAAAGTCCATGTTGTCGAGCTTTCACTGAATGGCCCATGTGAAGTCTATTGCGTGGCTCGCAGATGGGAGTCTGTGTTCGCCTCAAACTTCAAGGGTGGATGCTTTTACAGGCCCGCTTTTGCCCAGCTCTGGCTGACTCACGAGACTCGAAGAAGTCGCAGAGAAACCAGACAGGGAGGCGGAGCGGATACAGCTACCATCATTTTATCTGAAGAGACGCGATCTTCACCAGTCGTCGTCGCTTTCTTCCTCATCACTGTCGCCCATGTTTCCTTTCCGCTGACTAAGGGCAGCAGCGAGTGCACTTGCCAGGTCTCCTCCTTCGGCCTCATCGACACCAGAAGGATCGGCAGTGGGCGCTGCAGCTGCGACTGCTGTTGCGGCAGTCGCGCCAACGGCAATGCCTCCGGATGCTGATATGGGTGTAGGCGCTTTCTTGAGGTCGTTGACGGACTTGCCCTGGATGGATGCGAGAAGTGCTGAACGCCCGGTATGTGGTACAGGAGCTCCGGATGCGCTGAGCGGTGGCGGAGGACCTCCGTTGGACGGCGGTGGCGGTGGTGGCGGAGGTGGAGGTGGTACACCACCGCTGGCGCTACCCCTGACCGAACGCGATGGGGGCGGTGGCGGAGGAGGTACGCCTCCATTTGCCGTTGAGTGAAGTGTTGGTAGCGGGAGCGGTGGTGGTGGAGGAGGTGGTGGAGGTGGTGGAGGAGGTGCAGAAGAGCCTTGATTCGTGGGCCGCGATGGCGGGGGTGGTGGACGTGAAGATGCAGCGCCGGGCACGACTTCTATTCGTGATCGTGGAGCTGGTGGGGGTGGGGGCGCTTTGCGAGCACTTGTCCGTGATGGTGCAGGTGGAGGCGCCTTCTTCTGCTTCCCCCCCGCCGGCTGCTCTCCCCTCTTAGATGGTCCCCCTCGTTTTCCAACAAAGTCCCGGATGAAGCCTTCGTTCTTCGCAATGTCCTTCTTGCTAATTCCCATGTTCGAGAGCTGATCCAAAAGTGCCTGCCAAGAGGGGTCCACATTCTCAGAGGAGAACCCATGCTCTGCAGAGAAGCCCATGTGCGCCACATGCTTGAACTCAGAAGGCGCAGAGATCATGGACTTGTCAATCTTCACAATGCCCCCTTTGCTCTTCTTCTTGGTGCTTGTTGAGCTTTTCGCTGCGCATTTGCCAGCATACGGACTGTGAGCGATTGGGTCATATGGATCCTAAGATCTAAAGAGAGACCTCACCGTATTTGGATCTACCTGCGATCTTGCGATTCAATTCGTTCGCCTCGCCCTCATCGGCAAACGAAAAGCCGACAAAACAGTCCTGACAGTGGGATGGCATTGATATCAATACTCGCTGGCTCCAAAAGCAAGTCGGCCCTGCGCACGCACATCCCCTTCGAAAGAGTGAAAGAATGCCCGATCTTGACTGTAAGAAAAGCCCTCGTACAACTCGTGCTCCCATAGAGTGCCCCTCGTTCCCTTCCATGATGGACGTCAGGAGCCAAGGTCAGAGCGTGGAACACATGCAGAGGAGAGCAAGCAACTCACCTTCAGATCGATCAACTTGAGGTAGAATGACAGCTTTTCATTGTCGCGGACAAAGGCGAGTGCACCCTCTAACCCTGCGTATCTCCATGTCTTGGTGTTCGGATCGGCTGCATAGACTCGCGCGACGGTTGCTGTGATGATCTTGCACTTCGAGGATGGGGTCGCAGCTTTGACTTTGGCTTTGTCGCTGCTGTTGATCGTAGCAGCGGACGGCATCTTTTTCGAGCGGCACGTACTCAAGACTGACAAGGCCTTCGCGAACGTCACGTCAAGGTGGGTAGTGTCCAAACTTCCTGTTCGAACAGAGGGTTGGAGCGATTATAACCCACACATTCACCGTGGGGGCGCGATGATGATGCTGACGGGGCTGGTGTGGATGATGTGCGGTCATGCAGGCCAGCCCAGATGTACTTCACAAATTCCGCTGCTGTGGACGTGTACAGTGTCCTCCCTACATTTTGAGTCGCAACTCAACAAATATTTAACCTCTCTTTTCTGTTTCGCATACCGCACGCATACTTTCATAAACAATCTTCCTTGCAAGTGCGCTGATCAAAATAGTTCTATGGCAACGTCAACCACTTCGAAAGGTAGGCGATGCGTGGAAGGTGGGCTCAGGCTGCAAGCCTATCATACTGCATTGTGGTCCGACGTGAAAGACCAGGGTCAGGCTTGCAGCCTAAGCCCAGCTTCTTTAAGTACTTCCTTAAGCCCTGACAAAACAGAGTCCGTCACCCTCTTTCCCTGGGCGAAAGGACGGGACAGACGGGCGACAGCAACATCCGCACAGCACTCGTCGTCGGCTTCGCCGCGCGAAGTTGCTGTTGCGCAGCAATCTATAGCACAGCTCGCTCTTCCTGTGGCGTTCTGACTGAGCGCTGCGTCACATTCACAATCATTTGCCCACCTCGACGTCCTCCACGCTGCAGGCCGCGATAACCATTCACGATAGCAGTCTTTGAGAATGCAATGCGACTAATTAACGTTACAAAGATGCTCGATGTATTTAAGCCTGCCCAGTCTCCCACAGACTGCGAAGGTCTTGCAATTTATTCTTGCCGATGGCCTTGGTGGTGCCACGTCCGCCTACATGCTCCCCATCAATGCCCGCTCCCGTATGCGGATGGAGCGAATGTGCAGAGTCGTCCCCAGCGGCAAGCGCTGCGAGGAACTTAGTCTGCACGCACGCAGCGCCTTTTGGCTTGGATGACGAACGCAAGGCGGCGGAAGATTGAGGATGTGCGCTGCCCAATGGCTTCACTGGCTCCTTCGCCGCCTTTATTGCACACTTCTGCGATGCCAATGTCAACACATCTCTCGTAAGAGTTGATGCAGGCAGCGTTGAAGTGCTTGATGTGAAGGTCGGACCGACGGTCGAGGGTGTATGTTGTGTCTGCGTGGTCTGTTCGACGGACTCTTGTGAGGCCACTGCTGGAAATTGGTTAGATTCTTCTGCAGCTTTGCTGAATACCGGCTGAGGTGCATTTTTGTTCAGGAAAATCGCAGCCTGGTGAGCCTTCAGGATGGGACGATGAATGAGCGTCATGGCGCCCGGACTCGACAGGGATGAAGGCTTCGCCTGTTCTGTTTTCACTGGCTCGCTTACTGATTTCGCAGCACTCATTTCCGGGTCGACGCTTGGACGTGTTGAAGCAGAGCCAGCCTTGGAGCCAAAATCAAAGTATGATGCTGCTTTCATAGGAAGACCGGGCTTCACCTGCGAGTTAGTGTCCTCATTCAGCGACAAGCGGCGTGAAATTGGATGGTCTTTCAGCGCGTTCCCTCCCTTGCGCTGACCTGATGGCTTGCTTCCATCGACAAGCGCCCTGAGCTCTGCAGACAAGGTCGGCACGTCATCCACTTGCACCCGAGACTCGTACGAAACGGCTCGTGGCTTGGCCCTCGGCTCAGCCATAACGCCATAGCGCTCGGCCGCAGATTCCACCAACTTTTCAAACCGAGACGGAGTGATGTTGTCTGCGCCAACGAATGCTGAAGGAGTTGGAGTCTTTGGACTGTTGACGAAGGTCGCACCGAGAACTGATGGTGCTGGTGCAGGCTCAGAGACCAAACGATCTTTCTGAGGTGATGCTGGGTCAGCTGATGATCTCAAAAGCGCAGAAGCAGCAGGCATCCCGCCTTGCGACCTGGATCCACACGCTTCTACCGGAGTTGCCTGTTGCAACCAGTTTCCTACACGACCGATAGCCTCAGAGCTCAGTTTGCGTTGCTCTTGTTCTTGCGGTGACACTGGCCGGTCCTTCTTAGCTGCATCTAGAGGCGCGGAGACCAACGATGCCTTCGGAGGCACCGATCCTGCAGACTTGGTTACATGACTGCCAGTCTTAGTGTCCACAGCCGATTGCCTTGCAATATTCGCCATCGCTACGACTGGAGGCAGAGTTTTTTTAAAAGACGCTGCTTCCATCGGTGAACTGGGCCGACTCAGTCGGCTTTCTAGCGCGGTCAAGCCCTGACCACCTGGAGATGGGGAGATGGAGCGCCTACGAGAATTGCTTGCGTCTTTTGAAGGAGCTAGCGGAGCGTGTGGGCTCCTCGACAGGCGGCAGCCGTCCGATGAAACTGCGCTTGCAGGATGCGGGGCGCTTAAAGGCCGCGCTTGTTGGGCTATCGTGCTTGTCTCGACAGGAGTGGACGAGATGACATTCAGAGTCGCGTGAGGCGTTGGAGACGAGTTCCTGCTTCGTGAGGCTGCGACAGCCTTGAAAGCGATCGACTGGACTGACTGCGGCGCAGCCGCTGCTTGCGTTTCCGATGTGGCGGATCGCTCTCGAGCCTGGTTGAATAGGTCCGACGCTCTAGGCCGAGTATTGACAAGCGATGCAGAGAGTTCTTTCTTTGAGCTCGCACTGTTCTGCGACGAAGGTGGCTGGGGCAGACCTTTATCCCTCTCGGCTTCTGCTGTCACTATCCTCTTTTGTCTGTCCGCCTCTTCCTGGTCCCATTGCAGTCCGACATGCGAAAGTGCTTCCTTCGTCTTCGCCTCGCTCTTTTCGTCTTCCATACCCGCGATAGCTTCAAACTGATCAATGTCCTTTTTTGAGACCGAGTTGCCCTCTTTGAACCCTTTCACCGACTTGACAGTGCCTGCCTGTGACTCTGAATCTTCGGTGATCGTGGCGAGCCCTTGCAGAACTGAGGGCGGTGGGGGCAAGCTGGCTATAGGATGGTATGTCGCCGGCGAAGGTGAATTAGTAATCGGTGATGTGGCATCGTTTGGAGACGTAGAGTAGCTCCTATCGGGAAAGACAGCCGGGGCTGGGCTTGCTGGAGCCGGCGAATGCATACCAGCTGGAGCTGCCCGTGCAGGCACGATGTGCTGGCTGAGGACAGGAGCCGACGCATGCCGGTTGCCCTGCCCTTGGTTATGCATTTGCATATGATACGTCGATCCAGTTGTCATGTCCCGCTGAGCAGCAAGCTGCGTGTGTGCCGTGGGGATGCCCAAGTCAGCAGGAGCAGCAGAAATAGGTCGCAAAGGCGGGATCTGCGCAATCTGACTGTGCTCAGGGATGACAGCGTAATTGTTCTGAGCCTGCAAGGCCTGAATCTGCTGCTGCATCTCGGTGCTCGCGCTGAAGGAACGCTGGATGTACATTGCTGACGCTGGACGAGGGGGTGCAAAGGGCGCAGGTACAGATACCCCGCCTACTGGCTGAACCGGAAAGGTGCTTGGCGTCCATCCAGGTGTATGCGGATCCCACGCAATCTGACCAGGTGCATCCTGAGAGAGGAAAAAAGGCTGCGCTGTGGTAGGCAATGCGATCATCTGTCCAGACATGGCCGAGCCTGGTCGAATGGGTAAAGCCACGCGCGGTTGGGGCAGAGGCGCTGGCGACCACCCACGCTCTACTGCGAATTGCTGCACCGCGTGCATATGAGCATCAAGCTGCTGTTGGGGATGGTGCAAAGCGTCCAGATTCGCCTGAGCGGCTTTCTGCACTGAGGCGGTGTGCGCAACGAAAATGGGAACTTCGACCGTGAGGTCCTTTGCGAATGTTCCCATGAGCACGCTCACAAGGGCGATGATGCGCACTTCGAAGAGTCGTGTTTTGCGGATGGTGCGTAGATCGCGAGGTACTTGTACCGATATGTTGAAGACCGATTCGTGATTGGGTGGAAACTCAAACATAGGACCTTTGAAATCCTCCTGGTGCACGACGTCGGTGATTTGTGGTCCCAAGCTTTCGCCTGAATTTGCTGCCTGCCCCACTGGAAAGACGAGGCGCCTTGCTAAAGACACACGTACACCAGCGATGTGCCTCTTGGTATTGTTTTTGACTCCACAGCGAAGAAAGACAGTCCCCCCTCCCCAGAAGAGCTGCTCAGCAACACCGGCTTCAAGCCAAACGACGCCGGCGCCACCCATAAACAATCGCGTATCCCCGACTGCCTCCCTTGGCTCCAAATACTTTTCGTCGTGCTCGTCCTCCCAGCGCTCAACGACAAAAGCGTCCTTTCTGGATGCAACCAGCATCCGATCTTCATGATACCAGACTTGAACCGTAGCCTTGAGGGCGTACCTCAGCGATGCATTTCCGGCAAAGACGACACTTGAAGGCGCGGTTTTGGGTAAGCGAAAATTGAAGGGGAATGTTGTTCTGCCTTTCCTCGCGGGCCAGTACCCCTGGTGAGGAGCGGCTGGGAGGACAGCGTTGGAAGGTGGGAGGTGTTCTCCTTGAAACATTGTTCTGTTGAACAGGAACATTTGTGTAGCGGCATGATCTCGCGATGTAAGCTCTGCAGCGATAGCACGCGGAGCCGGTGAGCATACATCTCAGGTACTATCAAAAAGGCACAATTACTTACCCTCGATTCCCTCGAGCTCGACGGCGATCTCTCCGATTCGAAGGCGCTGGCTGGTCGCGCAAGCCATTTCAAGTCTACCAGAAATGCTACCACCAGCTTCATAGATGTTGCTGTTCAGGATGAGTTCCAGCTTAACTTTTGGGTGCTTGTTTACTGTGTTCATGTGAGCTTGCTGCCGGTCTACTCGCTCGTCGTAGTCCAAGCCGCCTGCAGCCCCATTGTGGGAGTGATGGTGCAAGCTGTATGCGTTGGCTGCCGGAGACGAGATGAGCGCATTGGAAATGTCGCCATAGTGATCGATTTCTGACGGTGGAGGTGGCAGCCCAGCAGAATTGCGGTCCCAAGTGAGCGAGTTCCGGCGCACCAGACCGCCTTCTTGGGCCGGGCCCTGATGTTGATGTGCCGGCCCAGGGCTCGGCGTGGCACGGTGTATATTGGACATGGCGGACGAGGGTCGTAGCGGTGCATGTGGCGCAAACATCGCGCCCAGTCAGGAAACCTTTCTCGGAGACTTTGACTTGAGGGTGTGCAATGCAGGCTCAATGGAAATCGATTCTCCACGGTGCGTGGATGACGGTGAGCACGGAGCCCAGACTGCTCAGGTGGGGGTGTGGTCCGCGAGCTCAACGTGTTCCGCTAGCCGGCCAAGCTGGCCTTGATCTATGAGGAAGCAGATGCAAAGAAAAATTGTGACCTTGGACGCTTGCACCTCGATAAATGGGCAGCGTTCGGAGGGAACGTGGAGCAGCCCAGTTGCTGATAATAGCCTGTTAAGACCTTGCACATCCTATATGGTCATGTGTGGATGAATGAGACCCCTATCGGCCTCCCCCCGCATGGGAATGCCGTGCAAGGGTCTACTGTATAGCCGGCCGAGAGTGTTGCCACACCAGACCGCATATTACGTAGAGTCAACCACTTAAATTTTGGCTGGATGTGCCAACGTTCCCGCTTCTCCTCCCTTTAGCTCGATCATAAATCGCCGAGTGCTGCGACAATCGGCAACATTCTCTCACTCCAGAAGCCCTGCTCGCACTGTGTTTGAGACACTTCTGTTCGGTGCAACCGCTTTGAAATTCCGCATTCCGCACTGTTGCGTGTCCCGGATTAATTTTTCCTTCTTTCCCCCCTCCTCGCCTCTCTCCCATGCCTGCAGGTCTCTCCAAAGAGAGCGAGATTCATCCAAAATCATCGTCTCGTTGGCGACGTATTTCATAGGCAGCTCACTTCATACCAAAAGGCACCAGTACTCCATACGCATCTTCCATCGCATTTGCCACACTGAGAATTTGTCTGGGTAACTGGCTGCGAAAACCAACAAAGGCAACTTGAGTTTGCAGCGATCATGTCACAGGCAGCCGACGCCCCCAAGGCCGAGCCCGTGGGCAATGGCGATGCAGCAGTTTCCACCCCCACTCCAGCGGCGGCAGCTTCAACGTCAGCATCGTTGACGAAAGAACAGGCCAAGGCGGAGACGCTGCGGCAGGGTGAGTATTCACTTGTCAAGCTCTTCTGACGTTGGACGATTTCTTACACCTTGTATCACTCCGCAGTGGAATTCTACATGTCGGATGCGAACCTCCCATTTGATAAATTCCTCTTTACCCTTACGCGCAAGGAAGGTGGATGGGTTCCAATCGCGACAGTGGCTTCATTCAAGCGCATGAAGCCTATGAGGGAAGTCTTGACCACCGAAGAGATGATCGAAGCCATCAAACTCTCTAAATCTCTTCTCGAGGTGGACCCCACCAACACCAAGTTTCGCAGAAAGACCGACCTCAAGCCACGACCGGACGCATTTCACCGCAGCGTCTACGTAAAGGGATTCCCAGAGGAGACTGAGACGACGCAGCATGATATTGAGAAGTGGTTCGCACAATTCGGAAAGATTAACAGCGTTCGCTTGCGTCGCGAGGACCCTCGTTCCACAGCAAACCCTCGGCGCTTTAAAGGCTCAGTCTTCGCGGAATTCGAGAACCCGGAGGAGATGACAAAGTTCCTAAAGCTTGAACCAAAGCCTAGCTATGGGGACAATGCGGAAATGCTGATCATGACTAAGTAAGTCACCGACGACGCTTCGAGGCAAGATGCCACGAGGCTTATTTTTAATTCCTTCTTAGAGATGCATACTGCACGATGAAGATGAAGGAGAAGGGAATCGACCCGGCTACAGCCAAGGTGAACACGAGCAAGGGTGCTGGCGGCGGCAGCGGCGGAAAGTTCAATGCCTTCCGGGAGCTTGAGCGCGAAGCAAAAGGATTGCCTGCGTTCGAAAACGGTTGCAGCAAGCGGAAACGCGACAGGGACGATGGCGACGCAGACAAGTCGAAGAAGCCCTCGCGCTCAGACCCGCTTGAATTTGAGTTTCTGGGTAGCAAATTGGTCACGCAGCCCGATGGCACTGTCGACCCGGCCGCTCTTCTCTTTCCGAAAGATTCTGTCCTTGCCTTTGAGGGCGCGGGCCAGGGCGGCAACTGGAGAGATCTCAAGGAGACCCTGCTCACCGTTCTGCCTACTTCCTTTGTGGAGTTCCCATTCGGTGCTGTTGGCGGGTCCGTCGGGTTCAAGGAAACCGTCATCGAAGAAGTGCTGAACCAGATCAATGGAATGGACATCAAGGTCGGCGGACAGTCGATCACCTGGAGCCGCGTGGGTGAGGAGAAGGCTAAGAGCCTGTACGTCGAGCGCGCCAACTTCCGCGCCAAGAATCTCCTCGATCAGCGTGAACAAGAGTCCAGCAGAGGTGGCAGTGGTGGTCGTGGGCGTGGGGGGGGACGTGGTGGCCGTGGTGGTCGTGGTGGTCGTGGCGGTCGTGGTGGCGGCAGGGGCGGGCGCGGCGGAGGGGGAAGGCACTTTAACAAGCGCAAGGCCGAGGGTGATGATGCGCAGGATACATCCTCTGGCGCCGCTCCCGCTGTCGAATCTACGCACAAGAGGGCGAAACAAGACAATGGGACAGACGCATGAGCCAGGGTTGGCTTGGTCGATTTGTATCATATGCAGTATTACTTCGATCAGATACTACATCTGGCTGATACTGAGCGCACACGCACGCAAGGCAAGAAGAGTGGAATGCAAAACAGCTTTGTTGAGAAGCGTACAAATACAGTGCGTGATGCATGCTTTTTTCAGATAAGAGGCCGACTAGTGGTGAGGGTGGACGGTTTGGTGTGACTACTTTTCGAGAATAAAAGGATCAATCATAAAGACGATGGGTAGTAGCCCGATGTTGAAAGGGCCGATGCGGTAGTATCCGGACCTAAGCAGAAGTCATCTCCTCCCCGTGCAATGTGTTTAGCCCGCCAAGGAGCGATTTAGAAGAAGGACTAGTAGCTTAGTAGCGGTAGTGGTCAGCCTTGAAGGGTCCCTGGACTGGGACATCGAGGTAGTCGGACTGGACGCTAGTTAGCTTGGTCAGCTTGACGTTGAGCTTGGCCAGGTGTGCCGAGGCGACCTCCTCGTCGAGGCGCTTGGGAAGCATGAAGACCTTGCCACTCTGGTACTTGTTGTCCGTGTTGTTCTTCCAGAGCTCGATCTGAGCAAGCGTCTGGTTGCAGAACGAGGCGGACATGATGAACGACGGGTGGCCAGTCGCGCATCCGAGGTTGACAAGACGGCCTTCGGCGAGGAGGAGAATGTGGCGGCCGTTCGGCATCTCGTAGCGGTCAACCTGGGGCTTGATGTTGACAACCGACTTGGCGTTCTTCTTGAGCCATGCAACGTCAATCTCGATGTCGAAATGGCCAATGTTGCACACGATGGCATCGTCCTGCATGGCTTCGAAGTGCTTGCTGGTGATAATGTCGCGGCAGCCAGTGGTAGTGACGAAGATGTTGGCCTGGCTCACAACGTCATCCATAAGGTCGACTTGGTAGCCGGCCATGGCAGCCTGCAGAGCGTTGATCGGGTCGATCTCGGTCACAATGACACGGCAGCCGTAGCCACGGAGCGACTCGGCACAGCCCTTTCCGACGTCACCGAAGCCAGCAACGACAGCGACTTTGCCGCCCAGCATGACGTCGGTGGCACGCTTGATGCCGTCAACAAGCGATTCCCGGCCTAAGAGGGAGCCAATGATGTCAGAGTAAAGATCACAAACAAATACGCATGAGTCACGACCAAACATACATCCATAGTAGTTGTCGAACTTGGACTTGGTGACCGAGTCGTTCACGTTGATGGCGGGGAGCTTGAGCGTTCCCTTCTTCATGGCGGTGTACAGATGGTGGACACCAGTGGTAGTCTCCTCAGAGACACCCTTGATACCCGCGAGGAGCTCGGGGTGCTTCTCATGGACCATCCAGGTGAGGTCACCGCCATCGTCTAGGATCATGTTGAGCGGCTCGCCACCTGGGAAGGCCTTGAGGGTCTGCTCAATGCACCATTGGTACTCCTCTTCGGTCTCACCCTAAATATGCGGAGAAAAGGTCTCAACATTTGTCAGCTTCAAGGCTGCATTCTCAAAGGACACCATCTTTACGCACCTTCCAGGCGAAGACAGGGACACCGGTGGCGGCGATGGCAGCAGCGGCGTGGTCCTGCGTGGAGAAGATGTTGCACGAGGACCAGGTAACCTGAGCACCGAGAGCAGTGAGAGTCTCGATGAGAACAGCAGTCTGGATGGTCATGTGCAAGCAACCTGCAATCCTGGCGCCCTTGAGAGGCTGCTCCTTGCCGTATTTGTGGCGCAGTTCAACCAGACCGGGCATCTCCAGCTCGGCAATTTCGATTTCCTTGAAACGAGACAAAAGGCGAAAGAATGAAAAACGTCAGATTAACCCAGCTAGGGTGTGAGCCATGCCGCACAAATGGTCGCTTACCTTTCGGCCGAAGGCGGCGAGGGAGATGTCCGCGACCTGTCAAAAGGCATGGCACAGCGCAGGATATATGTCAGGGATGCTGCATTCAAATGCAGACAGACGAGTATCTCTGCGCACCTTGTAGTTTGACATGTTGGCAGAAGATTTAAACGTGAGAAAGTTGAAGAAAACGGAGAGTCTATGGCTTATATCGTGTGGGGAGGGAGAGGTCGTGGTTAAGAAGATGGAGAAGAAGTACTTTGGAGACATGAGAGGGAGGCGACGTGGTTGGAGCGAGAGCGAGAGAGCTTCTCATCATGCCCCTGCACGGTTGCGCACGGGTGCAAAAATGTTCAACGCCGAAACCACAACCAAACCAGGGGCACTGACTCACTCTCCGGCAGTTCCGCCCCTCTCCGCTGCTTGCCAGAAGCCACAACGTGCGCACTGGCAACATTTTCAAACCGAGTTCCTTTGTCGTACGAAAAAGGTGCAGGAAAATTGGGGCCAGCGCGCTCAGCAACGTCCATGGGCACTTATCGGCGACCTTTCTCACTCGTTCACAGAGGGGACTCCCACAACTCAGTCACAACCTTACGTCAGGATTGGGTCGATGCGCATAATAAGCCTTCTTGCTCATATCCTTCGTCCGTATTGGCCTCGCAATCGTGGTGAGCATCGCTTCATGATTGCAGGCTCTTCTGAATCCATCTCAAGCCAGGTAACTGCGGACCACACACGCATTTGTGTAGTTGGGTCATCGCATCAGAGCCGCTCGTCGAAGCTGTCACCCTTTCGCCCCTCATTGGTCCCCCGACAGCGACCTGGCACCCGCGATGCCATTCCCAGAGTCTGCCTCTCCCAACCCAGCCACGGCTAGCGGTGCTACCTTGCACGTCAGTTCTGGTGCCGATTGCAAGCTCGCTGGAATCTTGCAGTACGACTGCGTGCTGGAGCGTGCCCCCAAACGAAGCAAGAAGGGCGCTAGTGACTCGGGAGGCAAAATCGTGTGCGCACCCATCGAGCGCATCTTCCAGCTCTGCAGGCACACACCAGCGGTAGAGGTCACGCACCTGGTCGACTTTGATGCTCAAGGCGCGCCCATACTCCACACACCTCCGGCTTGAACGACAACCGACAAAATGCAGCTTTAACCAGTTTCCGACAGCGTCCTTGTCGCAGTTTACAAATACCAGTCCAAGCCCGTCGGAACGCAGTTGCGCGTTTCCAGATCTACTTGGCACCCACACTCGCATGCAATACCATGTAGGTGGATGGTGATGGACTGAAAATACCTCCGGCAGATCGACGCAAGGAGCTCGAGCGGTCAGTCCACTGAAATCCTCAGACGCACGGGCATCAGCGCGCGAGGAGCCAATCGCAAAGGAGCGGGCCGGAACAACTAGCCAGGTTCAGTTGGGCTCCAAGGCATATCCGCGGAGTTTCAAGCGATGCTGGCGTTACATTCCTTCTGCAGCCACCTCAGAGCCCTCTCGTCACCCATCTTCTCCAGGACCGGCCCAACCTTCTGCAGCACCTCTGCATGGTACTCCTGCATCCAATGCTTCTCGTACGGCAGCAGCAGCGCAGCGTCGATCAGCGAGACTTGAATCGGGCACAAGGTCAGATGCTCGAAGCACAAAAAGTCTTTGCCACCAAAGTTGTTGGGTGTCGTGGCTTTGCGCACGCTGACGGCGGGCCCGAGAGCAAAAAAAGGTAGCACAGGAGAGGCCTCAGTCAGCCAAAGTCGTTTGGTTGTAATGTATTTGGCACTCACGCCACAAGGTTCTCGATGCGGACACCCCAGCTGCCGTCCTTGTAGTAGCCAGGCTCATTGCTGATCACCATGCCTTCCTTGAGAGTCGTGTCGTTGAACACGATGCGCGTACCGATCCCTTGTGGGCCTTCATGGACGTTGAGCCAAGAGCCAACTGCAAGACCGGAGCAAGATCAAATGAACACGTCATTTTTAGCAGCTGGTACACAGGAGAGAGAGGAAAGTTTGCGTTAACAGCTCACCTCCGTGACCGGTCCCATGCCTATAGTCTAGACCGTCCTCCCAGAGCGCCTTCCTAGCGAGTGAATCCAGAATATACCCAGTCGAGCCTTTGGGGAAGATGACCCTGTCGATGGCAATGTGACCTTGCAGCACACGCGTGAAGGCTCTCTTCTCCTCCTGTGTTGGTTGGCCAAAGTGCCACGTGCGCGTGACGTCGGTCGTTCCGGGCGTGTCGAAGTGTGCGCCGGAGTCGCAGAGGTAGATCTGCGCCGGGTCAATGGCCGGGCACGACGCTGGGTCGGGCGAGTAGTGGATGATGGCGGCATTGGCACCGGTGGAGGAGATGGTGCTGAAACTCAGACCTTTGAAGCCTTCTAGCCTGCTCCTGTACTCTTCCAGCTTCGTCGCGCCACTCGATTCGGTCACCTTTTCGCCTTTGCTCAGCGCCTCCTCAAGCCAGGCAAAGTATTGCGCGAGTGCCGCGCCATCGCGGATGTGTGCTTCGCGGAAGCCTTCCAGTTCGCGTGCGTTCTTGATACTCTTCTGGTCGACGACGATCGACCGGTCGATCTTCGCCTTCTCCTCTCCGCCGAGCGCTTTCATAATGGCGAGCGATGCACGCTTGCCGATCAGGATCTTGCCGTCGGCTGGAAGTGCGCTGCCATGCTTGTGCAAGTCTTCGTAGAAAGTGTCGTACGGCCGCAGCTCGACGTCATGGCAGCCTTTGAGTGCAGCCTGGGCGCTACCGTCAAGCTGCTTTTCGTTGACATAGAGGTAGGTGCGGTCAAGCAAGACGAGCGCAAAGGCGAAGAAGACCGGATTGTACGGCACGTCTGAACCGCGCAGGTTGAATAGCCAGGCAACTTCGTCCAGCATATTTGCAACGAACCCTTGTACGTTGCCCCTTTTCTTTAGCTCTTCCCGCAGATCTTTCGCCTTGTTTGCGTAGCTCTTTCCTGCTGTCTTGTCATCGAGTGCAAAGATGGGTTCCGAAGGCTTGGGCGGCCGATTTCCATCGGCATCCCAGACCTCGTCGACGAGATTCTGCGTGATGGCTTCGAGTTTGGAGGACTTCTTTACCAGCTCCTTTTCCAGCGCTTGAGCATCTTCGGCAGTGATAAGAGAAGGGTCGACCCCAATGCGCGAGCCATTGGGCAGCTTCTTGTGCAGGAACTCTTTACATGTGCGGGATCGAGGGTCTACAGTCAGGTCGAGTGCATGATTTGATGTGCGTGCGCAAGACGCAAGACGCTTGCACTCACCTTGCCAGGTTGGGACGTTATCTTCGCCCTGTTTCATCAAGGTCCACACTCCGGCCTGCAACTGTTGTCCAGCCTGCAAAAAGTAGCGACCATCGGTGAAAAGGAGGCCGTCCTTTTCGGTCACAACGGCGCAACCTGCAGACCCGGAGAACCCCTGAGAGAATGAGAGCACGCGCAAAGAGCAGTCAGCCTCAGCCTCCTGGACCTTTCCTCGGTCTTTTGCGCACCGAGATGTAGCCTCTTCGAAGATCACGTTGGGCGGGGTATTCACTGTTGATGGCCGCCGAAAGGTCAGAGCGTCAGAATGTTCCGTATCACCTACCGAATCGTTGTTTAACAGCGCATGCTTACCTGAAATGCGCATCTTCCGAAGGGACAACGCTTGTTGAGGGTTGGAGACGAGGTCGAATGATCAGCTGCCTACACGCTTGCTCGACACCACACGGCGGCAGTCGAAAGACAGCTCACTAGGCGTTCAGGCCATGCTTGTTCATGAGCACACGCAGTCTCTCGACTCGTTGCTTGGTCTCGACGACGCCGGTAGCGATGGCCCCCATGTTGGATCGAGCAGTCCGTGTGGAGTAGAGGTTCCGGAGGGCAGCTTGCCGTAATAAGCAGGCCGTCGCAGTCAGATGATGAGAAGAGAAAGCTGTTCGCGCAAGGGCCCGGGTGCAGGTCTTCCGAACGGACATGAGTCAGCGTGAGGAAAAGGAAGATCAAGCTTCGGTACCGTATGGATATGGACGAGAAGGGAAGCAGACGTGGGGAGGATGTACTCGTTGAAAGCTGTCACCATCTACCATGTCACTCGGTACTGAACTCGAACATGGAGGCATTACACTGTACAACAGAGTTGAGAGCTCCAGAGGGCCAAGCGGGCCATACTGCGTCTTAGTGCCTATGCTCCTAATACCGCCGCAAACGGCACCGAAATAACCGAGAGACTGGGCTAGGGTCGATAACGACAGCCTCATGCGAATCAGATACGACTGACCTGCCGCCTTGGGCCGAATGATAGCCCTAATAAGCCTGTCCAGAGTCGAGACCATCCAAGAGGGCTTTATATACAATTATTAAAGGCCTCGACCAGCTGCAGCATACTCCAACCGCTTGCACCAACTCTGCCCTCAGCAGCCATGTGTCATTTGTGTTGGAGCGCACGCAATTGGGGAAGAATGAGATGTCAAATGCCAGCGAGCTCGGATACTGGCTTTGCTGTGAGATGTGACGAATTGCACAACGGGGCAGAGAAGCTGACAAGGCGTCGAAGGATACAAGGGTATAGGCAATCGCCGGAGAATATGGAAAGGGTCCTTCATTGCAGCTCTCATGTGAGGCCAGCTGCTTCAACGCTGAATAGTTCCGTACTGGTAGCCCCCATTGAAGCCAAATGACAAACTTTTCAGATACCTGCTCATAGCAGAGAAATGATTCGGGCAAAGCACTCACGCTTGGAGGGGCCTGGTTCTGAACAGCGCCCGGGGTTGCTTCGTACCGGCCGTTCCCTTGGTACCCATGATGTGAAAGAGATTCAAAAGTTAACTCAGACAGTAATGGTGCTAGTTTTCTCCGTGTCCCCTCGTATGTGCCCACGTACCCTTGTAGGTAAACCCTTGAAGGCCAAAGCGCTCGCGTGCTTGGACATGCTTATAGATCAGCCAGAGAGCGTGGACCTGATGAGAGTATAATGGAGACATGGAAAGCAACATGGTGTTAGCCGAGCAAGTGAGAAATCTGCTGCGAGCGAAATGAGGCTTAACCATCACCGGCAAGATCGTAACTCACGTGTCCGGGGACTGCAATGAACAATCACGGTTAGGTCGATGTCCTAATGAGAACGAAGTTCTAAGATGGACTCACGATAGCCAAGGATTGTCAGACAGATGCTGTAAAAATGGAGATGGCAGCGGTCAGAAATGCACAGACAGACCGGGTGTAACCGTCTCATACTTGATGAGCAGATCGCAAGAGCACTGTGCAGCCAACGCAAGAGAACAAAGGGTGAAAACAGAAACAGAGAGTAAGCCCCATGTCATTGTGAAAACCAGCTGCGTTTCAAGCACAAGGACTAACCCCAGAAAGGAAAGCCACCCCTGCTGGCGGGAAGAGGATGCTGACGAGGATGAGGAGCACGTCGGACGTCTCGACCATCTTGATGCAGACCTGTGGAACGGATGGGACGGTAGAGGGATGGGAGCTAAGAACGTCGTGCGAGCAAGCGTACGACAGACGAGTAGGGAACTTGGTGTGTTCAAGGGGAGCGTGTGCGTGGTAGGGTCAAAGTGAAGCCCGAGAGCGATGCCAAAGATGGTGCAGTTTTGAGTATGAAAGAACGGAGTGAGACTGGGCAAGCGGGCTTCTGGTTGCGTCACACTCTGCGAAGCGATCAGCAGGGCGAGACTGCCCGCACAAATTAGGGTTCTTACTTGGCACAAGATGGGGACTGTGAGACCTTTGGGGGGGAGGGTTGGCGCGGGAACGCGCGCGTGTCACTTTCGCCCCTGCAGTCTGATCACGGATCAGCCCACTGTCTGTCCCCTGCCCATGTCCGTGTCCCTATCACTCACTCTCTCGGCCGGCCCTCCGCCCTTTCCTTCCGTCAGCACCATATCACAGCTCAGTTCGACAACGCAACGCATTGAACGATCAATCGACATCTGCTACATACGGCGTGCGCGCCAGTGTGTACAGCGTTCTCCGCATCTCACCCGGCCCCATCTGTTCAAAGGGCCTGCGTGCGCGTGGCCACAGAAGTACCCACCCCTCGCGCTGAACATGGCTCGCCTCAGGGAACTGGTCGATAAAGCCTCGCGCAGCAGTAGCAGCAAGGGGCACGATAGCGCCGCAGACGGCGCAGAGGACGATGGCACGCCTTTGCCATCTAGCGAGGAGATTGTCGAGCTGCTCAAACATCTGCAGTTCCTCAAGGACAGACTCGTCTCATACAGAAAGCTGCTTCATGACCACAAAGACAGCTTGGCTGCATCGACCCCAGATGGTGCAGCGGCCAAGAGCAGCAGGGAGGCAGCGGCAGCTGGAGCTGGAGCGGTAGGACAAGGGAAAACTGCAGCTTCAGCGGTCCCATCGAAACCGGCTGCTCCAGATGGGCCCACACCGGTAAAATTGACCTCAGTGCAGGCGCCTCTAAAGAGCAGCAAGCCTGGCGTCTCCAAGGCGTCTGGGGCTTCGAGTACCACCGGCCCGAACACCCCAGTTGCAACAGCAGCCAGCAGCAGTAGCCTTCAAAAGCCGACCATGGATATCGCTCCCACCAGCATAGCAACCTCCACCTCTGGGTCTTCTGCGTCGAAGCCACTTGCTGCACCTTCTATCCCGCGCATCCTACCGCGCATCAAAATCAAGCGAGATGCATCGGCCACACCGTCCGATTTTGCTGACAAGCTCCCTGCCTCTGCGGCAACAGCCAATGCGAACGGAATGTCTGGCAGCCCGGGGGATACGATGGACTGGGAGGCCGATTGCGCGTCTGCCAAGCTGGGTAAGGCGTACGCCAAGCTGAAAGGACAACCGATGTTCATGAAGAGGAAGCGTAGTAGAGAGTCGGAAGACGAGGCAGATACGGCGTCAGAGACGGCCAGTGCTGCGGGGGACTCGAGCATGTCTGTTGGGCCAAGACTCTCTTTGCAGGGCCTCAAGCTTCGTGCTTCCCCTGCCGTCTCAGCTCTGAACAGGGTGAGTTGGGAAATCAGAGTTTGATTGTGGCTGTGAAACCCCAATCCCCTGTTAATATCTTTTATAAACCCCTTTGTACAGCGTGCGCATGATTCTCCCGGTGTGTCGAGCATGCATCCGCAACGGCGGTCCAGCATGATGCCGCAAGCGCCCGCTGCACCGCCCGTCTACGACCCGGCATGGGCTCTACCCACGGTGACTGTAGACAGCCTGATGCCAAAGCTAGCCACGACGCAGGCGCCACGGCCCTATGCGACCAAGCCGGAAGATGTGCATGATGACTTTGCAACAAAGGACTGGCGCGAGCGCGACAGAGAGCGTGATCGGGAGGGAGGGGCAAATGGTCAATCGCAAGGGACCAAAGAGGGCAAGAAGGGCAAAGAGCAGAGCCAGGTCCCGCTCAACACCTTTTACTCTTACGCGGATGGGTACTTTAAGAGCTTGACCGAAGATGACCTTGCATGGCTTTCCAGCCAAACGGATGACTTGGAGCCATTCCAGGTGAGTGTCAGCCCTTGTCATGCAGTATTCGGTGTGAAACGAACAACGTCTTCGTTATTTCCACCCCTCAGATTCCACCACTAGGGCGCTACTACCGCGAAGTCTTCGAAGCCGAGGACGCCGCGCAGACAGGGCCGGACGGGATCCCGCTCGTGCCTGCAGTCGTACCGCCGCTCAGCCCGCCCAAAGCGAGCCCATACAACACGCGTTTCGTCCCGTCGTCCTTGACCGACAAGCACCTTGGTTCTGCGGATGATGCCAAGAGTGGTCTGCTCACGGAGCGTGTCGTCGCCTCGCTCTTAAGGACCACGAATGGCGGCCTTCCCCAGGTGCCAGAGGGAGATGAAGAGGACGATGCGGAGAGTGCCCCGTCGCTGACGACGACGGCGGCGCCAACGTTGCCCAGCATGCAGCAGGACACGCTTGCTTTCGAGGACAAGCTCAAGGCAGAGCTCAAAATGTTGGACCTATTCGACGAAGCAGCCGTCAACTCCGGGCAGCGGCAGGACGACGAAGTCTCTGCGATGCTCCGCAAGGTGCAAGAAGCGTTGCGCAAGCAGATGCGCGTCAACGAGGCGCGCAAAGCGCGGCTGTTCGAACTCGCACGCAGCCGGATGAGCTACCAAGAATACATAACGTGTCTCAATACGTTCGAGCGCGACATCGAGGCGGGTTGGAACAAGCGCCAGCGGCAGATCCGGGCCAGTGTGCAACGTAAGAAGAAAGGCGGCGGTGGCGGGACGAGCTCGCAAGCGGCAGCGGCCGATCAAGTTTCCGCCGGCGGAGCAGTCCCCTACGGCGAGCCAGGAGCCGCAGTGGTCGGGGGCTCGGCGGGCGCGGGCGCGGGCCCATCAAAACCTGTACTGCCTGACTCGGTCATCTCTGCGATGGAGAAGCGGCGCAAGTTGATCGATGCTCTCGGCCCCATGTTCGACCGGTTGCCGCTGTCGTGGCAGCCGCCGCCCGAGGGCGAGTCGGTGTATACAGACCTCGATTTGGAAGATGTATAATATTTGGTACTCAGTGCTTGCGCGTCTGCAATTCACATCTATCTCGCGTTTTGGCATTGCTCCATCCACAGGTGCGTCTCACGCTGAACGTCATGTCATGTGAAGTGTGCATCGGAACTCCCATCGATTTTTGTCACGAATTTCGAGGCTTATACATTGTAAAGTGGTATGCATGCGCGTTCGCGGTTTTGGGCTGCTAGAAAAGAGCAAAGCGGGGAAAAAGAGGAACAGAGGGAATCTCTATAACTGCGAGAGCTGCCGCCTGGAAATGTCGCAAAGGCGTCACTTGTTGCTGAGGTAGAAGTCCATGATGCCGGTGGTGGAGGCGTCGTGGCCATCGTTCTTCTCCTTGCCGAGCAGGATGGGGAGGACCTTCTTGGCGAGGACCTTTCCGAGCTCAACGCCCATTTGGTCGAAGCTGTTGATGTGCCAAATAAAGCCCTGTGTTGCGATCTTGTGCTCGTACATGGCGATCAGCGCGCCGAGCGTGGCGGGCGTGATCTTCTTGACCATGATCGAGTTGGATGGGCGCGAGCCGGGGAAGACCTTGCTCTTGACGAGGAAGTCGTTGCTGCTTGCCGCGGCGCCGAGCTCGGCGCGCACCTCGTCCTCGGTCTTGCCAAAGGCGAGCGCTTCGGGCTGCGCAACAAAGTTGGAGAGCAGGATGGCGTGGTGTTCGCCGAGCGGGTTGTGCGACTGCGCCGGGGCGATAAAGTCGCATGGGATGATCTTGGTGCCCTGGTGGATCAGCTGGTAAAACGCGTGCTGGCCGTTTGTTCCGCTGTTCACCGGGGGTAACCCGACGAGCGTCAGCCAGGACGCCTTCACTGGAGTGGCGCAGTAGTGGAATACTGCTGCCGTGCACTCACCTCTGTCCAAAGATGACTGGACCGGTCTCGACACCGACGGGCTCGCCGTTCTTGGCGATGAACTTGCCGTTGGACTCCATGTCGCCCTGCTGGAAGTAGTCTGCGAATTTGTGGAGGTACTGGTCGTACGGGAGGAGCGCCTGCGTCTGTGCGCCGAAAAAGTCGTTGTACCACACACCGAGCAGGGCGAGCAGGACGGGGACGTTCTGGTCGAGCGGGGCGGTTTTGTAGTGCTTGTCCATGGCGTGTGCGCCCTCGAGGAGCTGCTCAAAGTTGTCATAGCCGATGATGAGGCAGATGGACAGGCCGATGGCGGACCAGAGCGAGTAGCGTCCGCCGACCCAGTTCCAGAAGCGGAACATGTTCTCTTTGGCGATGCCGAATGTCGTGACGGCCTCGGTGTTAGTGGAGAGCGCGACAAAGTGCTTGGCGACGTGCGCCTCGTCCTTTGCGCTCTGCAAGAACCAATCGCGCGCGGTTGTCGCGTTGGTCATGGTCTCCTGCGTGGTGAACGTCTTGCTGGCGACGATGAACAGCGTTGTCTCCGGGTCGCACTCGCGAAGTGTCTCGGCCATGTGGGTGCCGTCGATGTTGCTGACAAAGTATGGGCGGAGGTCGCGCTTGGCGTACGCCTTGAGCGCCTCGGTCACCATGACGGGCCCCAGGTCTGAGCCGCCGATGCCGATGTTGACGATGGCGTTGATGGGCTTGCCGGTGTACCCCTTCCATGCGCCGCTCCGGACGGCTTCGCTGAACTGCTGCATGTGTTTGAGCTCCGGCACGACCTCGTTGATGCCCTCCTCGTTGATGTTGAACTCGCCGCGCAGGTCGCGCAGCGCGACGTGCAGCACGGAGCGGTCCTCGGAGGTGTTGATGCGCTTGCCGGCGTACATGGCGTCGCGCTGCCCCTCGACGTCAGCCTGCTTGGCGAGGCTGAGGAGCTCGGCGAAGATATCATCATCGATGAGGTTCTTGGAAAAGTCGAGGAGCAGGCTAATGTCCAGCCCGGCGTCGCCAAACTGGCGCGAGTACTTGGTGAAGCGAGCGGGGTCGGCCTGGAAGGCCTGGCGCAGGTTGAGCGACTTGCCCTTTGATTCGTACAGCTGCTGCAGCTTTTTCCACGAGGGTTGCGAGGTTGCGAGGTTCTGCGCCATGGTTGCGGTTATTTATTTATTTATTTTCCTTCTTCTCCTTGTCTCTTTTGTGGATCGCTGTTGGGTGCCGCGGCGTGGAATGCGGTGACGAGGTTCAGCTATGTGCGGTTCGAGGCCGAGTGGTGGCAGACTATTGAGCCACACGTAACACTCACCTGTCGAGCTGTTGCCTATGGAGTCGAGTGGGATGCAGTTGGGGTGTGTATGTTCCGCTGGCTGTGCAGCGCCCGAGTATTATATAGAATGTTTCAGCTCTTCTCGACAATGTGTGAACTTACCATTGGGGTGGGGGGGATGGGGTCAGCGTGGCGAAGTGCGACGGCGAGCCGAGATCCCAATCGTACGGGCACCGGGCCAACACCACAGAATGGAATCCACGGCTTGGAGCCGATCGATGAATGGAAGGTCTGGCTGGCTGGTGTTCCGCTGTTGGGCGTCCACACTTGCACGGTGCACGGGCCGTGTGGCCTGTGCTTGTGGTATTGCTTCTCCCGTGGCGCTGGAGAGGGAGCGCGGCAGCGGAACGGAGGTTACAGCTCACCGAACCTTACATGCAGTTCCTGTAGGTTGTGCAGCATTCGACTTGGCCCGTGCAGACACGATGCATCAAGCGAACCTAAAATAGGGTTGTGACATCTTCTCCGGGTTTGCCTCAACTGGGCGGACACGGGTCGCGTCCTTGGTCCCGCTTGCAGCATAGCAGATGACGGAACCAACGATGCCTGAGCGCTTCACGGGTAAAGGGAGAAAGATGGATAGGGAATGTGTGTGTCTGTGTTTCGATGCAGTACACTTTGTGGTGTAGCGGGAAGAGCCGACATATGCGAGCGAGTACGGCCGTAGCGGCCGGGGGAGGACGAAATAGTCCATGATGGATGATGTGACAGCCGGGCGGAAACGGACGTGAAGGAGACGGGTAACGTCAAGTGTATGTGTGCGCAATGGAGACGAGGAGGCTGAGGGCAAAGTACACGCGGGGGGCGCGTACTATATACTAAGATGTGGTGCAGATATGTGAGCGTCTGAGACCTGCGTGATGGAATGTTATTCGATGGTGGGGATAACTGGATAATGTGAATTTGGGGAAATGGTGGATGGTAGTACAATGTTGTTGCGTACGCTGTTCCTGCTGTTGCTGCCTTCAATAGAGATGATGGTGATCATAGGATATGCCACTGACGTCGCGTCAGAGAGGAAAGGCGAGGCATCAGGTCGCGCTCCTATTCTCGTGTTCCACAAGTGGAGCCCGGTGGAGAATCGCCTAGCATCGAGCGAGCCAATAGTATGGGGTCACACTCCACTACTTCTACTCCTCGTTAGCATCGCCCTCTGCATCGCTCATCGTATGGAATACCTCGATGGCCAACGCGTTCGCCAGTCCTGGCGTGATGGCTTCCGCATCTTCCAGACTCGCGCGGATCGAATCGATGCTCGCCAGCGCGTCCGGCCGCCCTTGGACAGCCATGGAGAGCTGTGCGGGACGCACAGAAAGGCACCGCAAGCAGAGGGTTAGCTCTTCGCATTCGGTCTCATCTGCACGAGACAATTCATAGCTTTCAGCAAACTCACTTGTTCTAGGACGGGTAAAAAGACCGTGTCGAGCGCTGTGACCCTTCGCGCCTCAGGCCGGGGCGGCAGTACTGCTTGCTGCTGATGTGAGTGACGGTACTGATTATACTGCTGTTGTTGCTCGGCCAACTGTGCACTAGTCCGGGGATCGATCGCGTGGCCGCTACCCTCCTGCTCATGTGCCGAATGAACGCCCGCCCCTGGCCCTGGCCCCACCCCTGGCCCGGGTCCTGGGCCGGCGCCTACTGGGTCCGAGGCCGCATTCACCACGCCGCCCCCGCCACCGCTGGATGTGCCTCGATCATGCATGCTCAGTCGCTCCATGCGCCGCTGCTCCTCTTCGACTCGCCGACCAAGCTCCGCCTCGGCTTTGGCACCTGCCCCTTCTCCAGCTCCCGCCCCAGGGGTATACAGCCCTGCTTGCGGAGCAGTCAAAGGCGCGCCATAGTCCCAATCGTCGCCAGCCTGCGCGGCAGCCGCATAGTCACTCGCGACCATCCCATGGCCAGCATATGTCGCCGCTGAGGACGGCGAGCCTGGTATCGCCGACGCGGCGCCACCCGACCCGGACACAGCGGCGCTCTGCCTGAACGCAAGCGCTGGCGAACCGTCCGCGAGAGAGCGCGCTGCAGCGGCGCCAAGGCGCACCGTCCCACCTGCAGACCCGGAGCCTGAGCCGGTCGAGGACGTGGAGGTCCCTGTGCCGAAGCGGTCCGCGCGCAGGCCATGCCCCTGCCCGCCGGACGGGGCGGACGGCAGAGCCTTTTGGTGCGCGTAGTGCGCCGGGGATGGCGACGCAGCGCCCGAGCCGTTGGCCCTAGCGACGGAGGATGTTCGTTGATGGAGCTGCGGGTGCTGCTGCACCTGGGCCGGTGGCGAGCGCGGTGAAGCTGGGTTCATTGCTTGTTGGACCCGCGGTGACATCGGTTGCTGCTGCTGCTGTGCTTGCGGGTTTGGTTGATGACTGTACTGCTGCAGACCAGGTGGTCGTTGATACGGATTGGTCACGTGAGACTGCTGCTGCAGCAGCGGCGCAGCGGCAGCCGGTCCTCGCGCTGCGACAGTCGCCTTGCGCATCGTACCAAAGTCCCACATGTCCTCCTCTCCCTCCTCCACTTCGTCCGCCTGGTCCCTCGATTCGTTCGCGTCCTGCCGCTCGCCTCCTTCAGCCCGCCATCGCTCCAGCCTGTCGATCAGCTCGGTCAGGTAGCCCGACTTCTTAGCGCCCCGGACAAAACGATGCTTGAGCAGTTCTTTGGCATTCGGACGCTGTCGCAGCGACGAAGTGCGCAGTGGAAGCAGATGTCAGCAGGGGGTTCACAAGCTGCCTTTGCATCTTGGCCGGCACTCACATTCGCTGGATCGCGTTGCAGACACAAGCTAACAAACTCGCGGAACGGCTTGGAGAACGTCGCCGGCAGCTCTGGTGGTGGATTCTTGGGGATGAGGAAGAGGACCTTCATCGGGTGCAGATCCGCATATGGCGGCTCACCCATGGCCATCTCGATGGCGGTAATGCCGAGACTCCAGATGTCCGCCTTGAAATCGTACCCACTCTGCTTGATCACCTCGGGACTCATCCAGTAAGGAGTGCCGACGAAAGTGTTCTTCTTTGTCATCGTCGCCGTCAGCTGGCCCGAGACGCCAAAGTCGGCCAGCTTGACTTCGCCGGACGAGGTGAGGAGGATGTTGGCAGCCTTGATGTCGCGATGTAGCTTGCCTTCTCCATGCAGGTACTCGAGACCTTTGAGCAGCTCGCGCACGACGATCGCAATGTAATCCTCCCTGAATCGGCCTGGCTTCATCAAGTCCGAGCAGCTGCCGCCGCTGCAGTACTCCATGACGATCCACAAGCTGGTTCCTTTGAGCCACGAGCCATGGTATCTGATTGTCGAACGGAAAGGGAAACATGTACTTGAGCCACGCGACACGCTGTCATGCCCGCATGCACATCCAAGGAGCACTTACTTGGTGACATAGGCGCTGTCCAGCTGACTAAGAATGGCAATCTCTTGTTGGATATCGTCAATCTCATCCTCTGCACTCTCCAGGTCGATGATCTTAATCGCCACCGGCTTGCGCGCGATCTTGGAGAATCCCTTGTACACCTCTCTGTGTATGGCATAGGCGTCACATTCAGCTCTTGTCATTGTGGGTCACTCGAGCAGCGCGTCCAATACGCACCCAAAGGAGCCTTTTCCGATCCTGTTTTGCTTGACATAGTATTCTTCGGGGTCGGACCCGCGCGGCGGCGCCTCCTGTAGCGGCAGCATTGTTCCCGGTTGGTGGGTTGAGTCGTCAGTCTATCAAGCTAGATGTGCGAAACATGGGGGGTACTCTATAAACTCACAACCGCCGTGCTCGCGCTGGCCTGTCTTCGTGATAGCAGAGACATGCTGGCCAATCAAGATGTGTCCGCGTTAGTCGATGTGAACTGTGGATGGTGTGAAGGTGACCGCAATACGCAAACCCCAAACCCCCTTCCCCCTTTGGCAGTGGAACACAACCGCGAAGAGACCAGTCGTGTGTCGCAGTGTTGGGTTGAGATCCACGGCCGGCTGAGAGTCGCCGAGGAAGGGGCGAGTTGTTTGCTCGCGCTCGCTTGTTACGCGACGATCTGCCTGCTGCTTGGTTGCAGAGAGGGGCGAGCAGGAGACCGGACGTGGTGTGCCGTGGCGATCCCTATGTGAGGTGACGAAGGAGAGGGAGCGATCGAAGCGTCGACGATGTTGCCGCTTGGTTCTGATCGCAAGACTGTTGCGCTTTGCACCACACACTAGAGACGAGAGTGTGACCTGTGATTGCCCGCTGACACACACACACGCGCAAACGCACGCCTGTGTGAAACACGCGAGGCAGGCAGTAGCAGTACTACCAACTAAACCTACTGCGACTACGCCTGCTACTACTACGCCTGCTGCTGCTGCTACTACTACTACTACTACTACTACTACTACTAGTGCAAATGAATATAGGGGGAGGATAACAGCGGACGGAATTGCGTTGATGTCTGAAGAACCCCGGTGAGGCGGCGAGCGCATGGGAAACGGATTGACTGCCGCGGCGGGTGACTTCTGGTCATAGGCGGGGGCTCTCGACTGAACTCATTGAAAAACATTCAAGTTGCTCGTGCAGCGTGTGCGCGCGCGCGTGCCTCAAGGAGTGCAGATGCCTGGTGGGCAGCCCCGGAATCAGGGGAAAAGGCCCTCTGGACTCGCCAGTTTGCGCAGCTTTGGTGGGCCATCCCCGCTTCTAGACCAAAGGTATGGGGGAATCTTGCGTCAAACCCACGGAATTGCCCCATTGAAGGCATTCCCTGCTCAGGTTCCTCCGGATTGGCTTCGTCCGCTGACGGCCATTCGATCGCTGTCACTCGACTCTTGAGCCGTCATCGGGCTCGGCCTTGAAACGGGACTCATGCTCTTTCGCATTCTCCTCAATCGTCCCTCTGCCTTCAAGACACCATACACAGCACGAAACCCCACGACTTTGAAGCGATTGGGCTGTCCTGGAAGAACAGGCGGTGCACTTGTTGTCAGCGTAGAACCAGACGTCCCAGTCGACCTCGATCGCCCGCATCTCCTCGGGGTAAGACCCGGGCTTGCTAGCACATACTTCGCAACTGTCGGATATAGTCTCCATTGGGAGTGGACACTCACATTCAAGATGGCGCTTCCCAAGCGAATAATCAAAGTGAGTGCGGCAGCGTCTCTTAGCCCTGCGCAATTTGGGCACCGGACCCCTGCTCACGTTTGTGCTTCCTACATTCCTTATCTGGGCTACGATGGCCTCTCCTCGAAACAACTGCTCCCCTCCCCCTCGCTCGTGAGAAGGAAACCGAACGCCTGCTGTCCGACCCGGCGCCTGGTATCCAAGCGACGCCACATGAGGACAACCTCCGGTACTTTGATGTGGTCATGGACGGGCCCAGCCAGAGCCCCTTTGAAGGTGCGCATTCGCATTCAAGAAGGTCGCAGCAGTCAAACAACTAATGCAAGGCAACTTTTTCTTACTCCATACAGGCGGAAAATTCAAACTCGAACTCTACCTCGCAGAAGACTACCCGCTGTCGCCACCAAAAGTCCGCTTCCTTACCAAGGTAAGCAGCGATGCGAGGCGCTGTGCTTCTCGTCCTTGGGTATTGTGGTTTCGAGCTGACGGAATGTTACTTGATTTCTTCTTGCAATTAGCTCTATCACCCTAACATTGGTACGTAGCTGTCTCCAAGACTTGATAGCTATTGTGCACGCTTCTGACTCGCTGTAATTTGTGTATGACAGACAAGCTTGGGCGGATATGTCTAGACATCCTGAAAGGTGTATATTTGCGCGCCGGCCTCTGGCTTACCTCTCCACGTCTTGACCTCGGCGCTAACGTACTCACTGACTTCCCCCTCAGATAAATGGTCGCCAGCCTTACAGATCCGCACTGTTCTGCTCTCCATTCAAGCGCTTCTCTCCGCACCGAATCCTGATGACCCACTGGCGAACGACGTGGCCGAGCATTACAAGACAGACGAGAAGGCGTGAGTAATTGTCGTTATGGTGTTGGTGATGCTCAGTTATATGCGTGTGGCCAGCAAGACGGCTTTGCATCTCGAGCAGCGTATGCAGTCTTGTTTGTCATTCACGATCAAAGCAAGTTATAGCTGACCCAACAACATTCGGCGACTTTTTTTACCACTTACATACCACCCAGTGCTATCGAAGTCAGCCGGCAGTGGACGCAGATGTACGCCAAGTGAGACTTCGCTGGCTCAGAGGGTGCATGCCAGCCGTTCGCACATCCACATGCAGACGTTGTCTCCTCTTCGCGATGGGATCAGCTTGCAGCTCGGCCGTCGCGGCCGACGTGTCCAACTCGCACTTGCGCGGTTGGCTGTGCGGAGCGTGCAGGAGCGGGGGCGAAGCGCAGGCGGAGCAATGTTTGACTGGATATTCACCAGACTGTATCAATAGAGCAGAGCAAAACAAACTTCCATCCTCTGTCCTGTCTCTTGTAAACGTGTGAGAATTGAGATTGAGCTCCATACAGCAAGCAAAACCTAACCCGCCTAGCAAGTCAACCTAACCTGCCAGGCGGGTACTGCAGCCTTGTGGACGCGCCGAGGGTGCTGCGGCACTGGACGACTCTTCGCGAGACACGCCGCGCCGACGCGACCATACGCAACCAACACCTCCGTTTTGGACGCCGTGCTTCCTTTTTCCATCCTCCCAATCCATCTATGGGCTGCTGCTGCTGCTACTGCCGCTCAGCTCATATCAGCGCGCATCCGACTCATCCTTGACGCGCCGACATCAACCCACCGCCCGCGTTCACAGCTTGCCTCGCGGCGTCCAAAAAGCACCGCAAGTGGCCAAAACGACGCGTCTGGCCTAAGCACGCACGCAAGAGAGCCCAACACCATGGCGCACCTCCCACGCGCATCGATCTACCCAGGAGGCGGCGCCGCCTCCTCGTCAACCATGCGGCAATCCATGGCGCCTGGTGTCGCTGCTTGCGGCCCAGGCGCGTTGCAAGGCGGCAGCGGCGGTCCGCAAGGCAGCAGCATCGCTGAGCAAATGTCGCAGATCGACCAGGCCATTACGCTGACGCTGCAGGAGATCGACGAGAATTTTGCGCGCAGCCATCAAATCATTACCGGACGCATCTTGCCCGCCGTCAAGCACTATGGCGAGTCGAGCTACCGCATCTCGCATGCTACAAGGGTGAGTATGGGATTGACACTGCAGCATGCAACTTACACGACGGCTTGGTGCTGACATGCTGCCTCCTTTTGCATCTCCAGTTTTGGCGCTTCTTCTTCGAGACGGCCGCGCAGGTCCAACTCGATATCAATGACAGCAGCAGTGCATATGGCGAGTCTTCTGCTTCGTACGACCGCTCTCGCTTAGAGCAAGACGATCTGTCGCCCTTGCCGCACGGCAAGGCCCGTGGTCATAACCATCAAGGCGAAGGCGGAGATGAGAGCAATGCCTCGTTCCCTGGTGACGCGTCGCTTCTCGCGAACGACTCGCTGTATCAGAGCATGCGCAATACGCGCGTCAGCTCCGCGCCACAACAGAAGCAAGGCAGCACCGGAGAAGAGCCGCGATGGGCCGATCTCGAGTCTCCGTACGAGCGCGCGCTGCGACTCGATATCGGACACGAGATGCAGACACAGGGCCACGTTGGTCGCGCGGCACGCGACGCGATATCGCACAACCAGGGCCAGAGTGCAGGATATGGTGCACTCGCGCGCGACGTTGCGGAGCTCCGGGTTGACGAGAAAGATGGGGACGATTCATCCTGGGACATTGCCACGCCTCCCAAGATCACAAGTGCAGCGGCAGCAGGTGGCGTTCCAAATGCCGTCAAAGCCTCCAGCGGTAACCTGCGCAATGCTGTCCTGCGCAATGCAATTAGTGGCACGCCCCCAGTCGCCATTCGGGGCTCCGCACGCAATCCCTTCGCACATTCCGACGCTGTCAACACGCCTGGCAAAGCTCCTACGCTTGGTGACGGTGCCCGTTGGAACGGCATTGCGGACTTGCGCAAGACGCCTTTGAACACGAACAAGGCGCAGCAACCGGACAGCTCACTGAACTCGTTCGCGCGTGCGCTCCACCATTCGCCGCCCGTGACAATGCAGTTCAGTATCCCGCGCAGCAAGTACCTGCGCACGCCAGCTAAAGAGGCAGCGCGCATGGTTGTTGACGACCTCCTGCGCACCGCGGGCGGGTCGCGCATTGCGCCGCCCTCGTCCGCCTCTGTAGCTACCCGCGAATGCGATAGCCCACGCACGAGGTTCTTGCAGCGCCAACAGGCTTCCGCAACGCGTGGTGGCACAGGATCATCACATGAAGCGCCGTCTGCAGCTGGCCGACGAACTGCTCCTGGTACCGGTGCCGCCGTCGTGCGCTCAGCCGTCATCGGCACGCCGCTGAAGACCAATCGCAGATCCGCACGCGGATCCATGCCGACGCCGCCAACGATCACGCGGCAAGAACAAGGGCTGCCGCGTATCGGTGAACGTGTTGGAGAGAGCAGGCATGCGACCCCTGCGTCAGCTGCAGGAGCAGGAGGCAGCAGCAGCAAAGCTTCGTCTGCAATGCTCATGGATGAGGATGAAGGTGGCGCGGACCCGCCGCAGCTCGGCAGCTACACTGGTTATGTGAGTGCAAAGGTTAGGCTTTTTTCCATGAGCAATTTTTGATTCAGCTCTGATCGATATATCTACAGGCTGGGCGTGACGATGACGATGACGATTCAGACTCGGACGACGACGATTCAGACTCAGACTCAGATGACGATGGCTTCGCGCCGCCGATCGCTGCGCCTGCTTCTCTCAGTGGCAACAGAGGAGGAGCATCAGCAGCTCCCGGCAACGACCCGCCCTCGAGCGTGTTGTCCAGCAGCTTCTCCGCCTTGGCCGTGCAGCAGAGCCTGAAGGATGACACGCTCTTCGGCAGCAAGATGGGTCCCAACCCCTTTGCCAGGGCCGGTAGCGCGTCGTTGTCCGGTGCAGGTCCCACGAGCGGCTCCGGTCCAGGCGGTGCACCAGTGAGTGGGGCTGGTAGCAAGTTCCAGCCGCTCGGCAATCTCGAGGACATGGGCACCGTCTATGAGGGCCGGCCCCTCTTTGATCAGGACAAGACGAACACTTGGAGCGCAGAGTCGCCATCGAAAGGCGGGCGATGAGTGAGCGATCAATCGCGCGTGCGTCAGCTTTTAACATCTAGTTCCACCTTCCTTCCCTTTTATTATCACACTCTTCTTATGCATGTATGAATGCTTTCTTGTGTCGCTTTCCTTCGTGAATATCCAAGGGCGATGCTTTAGCTTGTGACGTGATCGTGGTAGAAAGCTCTCATGGCGATACGGCCGAGCGACATGGCAGAGAATGCATGTTTGTGCGTTTGGTGTGGTGCGTAGAAAGGTACAATGCGGGACGGAGGTTGAAATGTATGAAGAGGCCTAAACATCTCATGTGTAGAACTTGCGGTTCTCATTCGGTCCAAAGAGGTCCATCCTTATCTCGGGTAGCATCTGAAGAAATAAGAAGCCAGATTGAGTGGGCAAGCGTCAGCTGTTATACAGAGCCAACCAGGGGGAAGGGCGCCGACTGACCTGTTCCTCCAGCAAGCGCAAACGCTCATCGAGTGTGTTATCGACCTTGATCCTGCCTCCGAGGCCAGCGAGGAGAACGCCGCCGGCGGAGTCCTTCCCCAGGCCCTCCTTGACGTCAACCTCGACCTCTTTCCCGCCGGTCTTCTCGGCGTAGAGACTCTGCGCATCCTTAGCAGCGTCCTGGACCAGTTGGACATCCTGCACGCGTGCCGAAACGGTCACGCTCGGCTCCATGATGCGCAGCAGGCCCTGCAGGATCAGGTCGCGCAGGAGCGTCGAGTATGCGCTCGGATCCGACGTCAACGACGCCAGGCTCGCGCGCGCGCGGTCGAAGAGCGTCTGCAGGTGCGCTTCGCGCGCTTGCAGGATGCGCAACCGGGACTTGTTTGTTGCAGTCGATTGGGCGCTGATCGAGGAAAGGAGACGGAATAGAGGCGAGGGAGAGGGCTGGTCAGCAAGCGGCCGAACGAACAGCACAGGCGAGAATGGGGCTTCACATCCTCTGCGACACCTCTGCCTGCTTGGTCTTCTTTTCATGCTGCGCATCAATATTGATCGCCTCCTGCCTGACGATCTTCGCCTTTTCAATAGAGAACTCCTCGTCGGCCTTGACTTGGATCTCGCGCGCCTTCTCCATTGCTTCCTGCTTGATGAAGGCGACCATCTTCTTCATCTCCGACAGCACCTCATCGTCGTTCATTGGGCGCGACATGATGAATTATATGGAGGTTTGGCACGGATGTGTTTGAGCGGATGACAATAAAGGTGTGTGCTGCATCAGGACGAACAAGGAGTCAGCATGGGGTTCGCGGGTGCGTTGTTCCAACAGAAATTGCGACAGGCTGCCATGGCTCCGAGGTGGGCGAAGCTCGGACTCTCGCTAATACGTGCGATAATCGCTTTGCTTCTGGCACAAGCTTCATCGACATTGTTCTCAGCTCAACACTTCTGCCCATTCCGGGTTCTGGCTGCATGCACTGCGCCAACCTCGCTGCGATCCTCACGTCGTCAAGGCCTGCAGTCATCAGCCGTCCGCATCAGTCCGATCGACGGAGCCAGCAGCATGCACGACAGCGTAGTCTTGAAATTGGCCTGTACCATCGCCGCTCGCGTGTTGTCCAATATTGAGAACACTCACCAATGAACGGCCGCAGAACGAGGAGGGGGATAGATAGGGTATCGCGACCCGCTGTAAGTAGACGTTGTGCCTCTCACGAAACCTTGCGCGGCACCGTACCGCCTATGGAAAGCCTGCAGTGACAGTGGTCCTCTCTGGTACAGCCGATGATCCCTTTACAGCGGCAAGTGGTGGTGATCGTCGAAGGCTGCAACTCCAAGAATGAGTACCACCTACCACTTGTCCAAAACGATCTCCAGGAGAGAACGAGTAGCACGCCCTGGCCTCCTGAGCAGCATTGGAACCTACTCCACGCCCGCCAGACTTAGTTTGGATGTTTAGAACTAGTCATCACCAACAAAGTTCTTCAACTCAGCTTTCCATATCTTTTGCACTCGAAGTGGCCCACAGGCTGCCTCCATCTTTCTTGAATCCTGGCATACAAGTAAAGCCTCCTGAAGGACACGCGTATAATGGACGCAGCACTGTGATAACACCCTCAGTTACGCACCGTGTGCGCTGCCATTGCCCCGGATTCTAGGATCTCGCACGTTGCTATGTACCGAGTAGTACTTTGTCATGACCAATTGCGTTGCGGACTTACGGTAAATTGCATTCTTCAGCAGATTGGCAGGCTGGTATCAGCGCGAAAGTCACCAGCACCTCACAAGTCACATGGGCGCATAAAACACCGCAGCGTTGCCACAGAATGGGAGTGCATCCAGGGATCATAGACGACGACGACAACATACAATGTGCACCCGATACTGAGCCATGGGCGCGTGCTGATCATCGTTCCGCCAGTAAGAGCTCTCTACCTTACTGACGTGCACACATCTAGCTGCGCCAGGTGGCAGCGCTTCGACAGGCTCCACGAATCAGCGTTGATACCAGCGTTTCTTCCTCGTTGAGAAGGTGGGCCAAGGCGATAGTTGTTCGATGCGTGACCACCTCCGCCATGACGTGCGCTGGAAATGATCTCTTTCGCTTGTGTTACACCCCTCATAATGTTTCGGGCCTCTACATCAAAGCCACGCACGTACCGGTCTTGCCAGGAAGTCGCACATCGCCCTGGCTCACCGCTATTTGCCTACACACGCTGTAAGGGTCACGTTGAGCACCGAGGCGGGCTGCAGAAGGGCCATCATGCATTCAGCGTGCAATCAACCGCCAGCGATTACCTCCAGCAGTGGACGTTCGCTGGTGTCAAGGCGACCCTTTTCATCAGCGCCTTCATATGGAGAGCATCGTAACGCCAGGGATATCGTATGCCGTGAGGTACAGTGACGGCGCTATCCGGACTACAGGATGTCCCCAGCAGTGCGTCATGATCTGATGCATGTTCGAAGCGTCACGTCCGCTTCAGGCAAAAATCTCTCAACGCGGTGCATGTATTGACGACGCGAGTCATTCTTTTTCTATGATACGGCGCAACGTCTCAATTTCACCTTGGTCTTCCAGCGAGACATCTTCTCTCACCCTCTTGACGCTTTCCCGCGTCGCCACTTACCCATCCGTATCGCCGTGCGTTAACGCTTTCCCCCCAAGGCAGGAGTTGGGAGCAGCCCGCTTCCTCTCGCTGCGGGTCAGCCACCGATTCCGATATGCGCGGTGATGCCATGCATACTCGGGTACATGTTGCAACGAGGGAGATGCACCCGTTCGCGAACTGGGAAAGCTCCGATGTCGATATCGACGCAGAGGCTGTGCAAAGATGGGGAAGGGCTCCATTCGACAGTCGACTTCCGCCTCTTGTTTGGGGCTACCGCCCGTCGATCATTTGTCGATGAAATGCGACGCTATGCCGAGGATCATGTCGGTGGCATACGAAAAAAGGTACGCATAAGTACCCGCCAAAGGACTCAGACCCGCGGCGGCATATGTACACGGGATCAACCTGGCTTCTACCTGGCGTGTGAACGAGTCTTCAAGCGAGTCGTCAAGGCATGTATACAGCGCCATGTGCATTTGTTTATACATATTCTGCAAGTACAAACAGACTATGGAAGGGGTTGTCTTGCTGTTCGGCTCAACCTGCTGTCGATTGGCTTCGGCTGTAGCGTGGCAGTCGGCGGTGTGTGCGGGTTAGACTCGAGCCAGCGAGAAGGGCCGCGGCTGTTCCATAATCGCCGACGCACCCACTCGCACAACATACGGCAGTGCGCCTGTCTCCGAGGCTTTTCCATATTCCCTGGGGAAACACTGATTCAGGGGGTGTTGACATGGCGTCAGGAATGGCGTGCTTCTGCCTCGCGGACAGTGAGACGGAAGCCAAGCCGATATATCCATCCACCCCCCAAGAAACTCATCCTGATATGGCAAAATTGATAACTCGGCGAGCATGGCAAAATGGTGTGCTTGCGTTTTGGGTGGGCGAGGGGGTATATATATAGATAGATAGATGATTGACGCCCAGGGTAGTTGTGATTATTGATGTTGTTGCTCTTGCTGCTGCTGCTGGCTGACTACAAGTTGTATCACTGAACAGAATCGAGCGGACCACCCACCCTTATCTGCATCTCTAGGCAGACCAGCTCATCCTCAGGACAACAGGTATTTATCACCCACCACCTCCCATCGCGTCGTTCATCAGCGCTTCTTTTGCCCAGCACGCAAAGAACAGAAAGGAGGTCAAATACACGCCATGGCACCGGTAGCATCAGACTCCCTGCAAGCAGAAGCCGCACCCGCAGAAGCGGCGTCGGCGCTGAACGGCAAAAAGCACGCCACCGCCAACGGGCACGCACCCGTCCATACCAAGCTCGGCTTTGCAACGCGCGCATTGCACGTCGGCTCCGAGCCTTCCAGCGAGACTGGAGCGGTCATCCCCGCCATCAGTCTCAGCACAACCTTCAAGCAGGACGGCGTCGGAAACCACAAGGTGAGTTGTGCGATCCTCGCCTAGTGATGGGGCGTTTATTGTGAGAAGCTCGCTAACAGCATTTCCTTTGTTTACTTGCCAGGGCTTCGAGTACTCGCGCTCGGGTAACCCAAACCGTGATGCATTTGAGCGCGCCATCGCCTCGCTCGAGGGCGGCGCACACGGCCTCGCGTTCAGCTCTGGCTCGGCGGTAACGTCAACGATTCTCTCGTCGCTGCCACCGCACGCACACGTCGTCTCGGTGAATGACGTGTACGGGGGCACGCACCGCTACTTTACGCGCGTCGCCAATGTCGCGCAACACATCGAGACGACGTTCGTAGACATGGACAGCGACGATGCGCTCGAGCAGCGCCTACAAGACGCCGTGCGCCCGCAAAGCACCAAGCTCGTGTGGATCGAGACGCCGACGAATCCGACGCTGCGACTCGTCGACATTGCGCGCGTCAGCGCGCTGGTCAAGCGCCTGGCGCCCGACGCGCGCGTCGTCGTCGACAACACCTTCCTCAGCCCCTGGTACCAGCAGCCATTAGCGCTCGGCGCCGACATTGTCGTGCACAGCGTGACAAAGTACCTCAACGGCCACTCTGATGTTGTCATGGGCGTCGCCGTTACCTCCGACGAGGCCGTCGCCGAGCGCCTGCGGTTCCTGCAGAACGCAATCGGCGCCGTACCCTCAGCATTCGACTGTTGGCTCGCGCTGCGTGGCGTCAAGACGCTTGCAGTCCGCATGAAGCAGCACGGGCACAATGCCCTGCAGGTCGCGCGCTGGCTTGAGAAGAGCACGCTGATCGAGTCGGTCATCTACCCCGGCCTGCCATCCCACGCGTCGCATGCTATCGCGCGCAAGCAAATCCACCCGCAAGCGGTCGCGCTCAGCGCGGATGGGCCAGTAGCAGCGGCTGGGCTTGGGCTTCCCTACGGCGGTATGCTCTCCTTCCGCTTCGCCTCCTCGCCGGACTCGGACGTGGCGAGCTCGGCTTTCCTTGCATCGCTGCGGATCTTCACGCTCGCCGAGTCTCTCGGCGGCGTCGAGTCGCTCGTCGAGCTGCCGAGCAAGATGACGCACGGCGGCCTGACGAACGAGCAGCGCCGCGCACTCGGCATCGGCCACAATTTTATCCGCATCAGCGTCGGGTTAGAGGAGCCTGCCGACCTCATCGCCGACCTCGAGCAGGCGTTGCTCAAAGCGGCAAAGGCCAGTGCAGCTGTAGCCGCAGGCGGCGACTGGTGATGGTGTGCAACTTCTTTTTGTTATCGTGCTCCCTCGGAGCGCTTGCTCACACTAGCTAATTCTTTTATAGACATTATACTTGCATATTCTTCCATGTACTAGTATCCGCCATGGCATTGCAGGGAATATAGGCGCGCTGCTGTCTGTTACGAGTGACCTGCAGTTCCCATCTCCCCTCCCCTTTCGGCCGCTCTGATCCCGGCTTATCATGATTCAAGGCCGCGGTCGCATGGGCGAAGGCTCGAACAGGGCAAGCCTGCGCTGTGCACCGCGGCCGGCGCTAACTTTCGTCTGCAAAACCTGGACGTTCTGCGGCGATGCTGTCAGTAAGAGCTTAGAGCGAGAAGGTGAATGTGGCGGCGGCGGCGATAGAGAAGAAGGTGATGATGTTAAGAGATGCGGCGGCGGTTCTGCTGGCGATGGCGACGAAGGCCCGCGGGGCCTTGTTGAGCTTCCGGGCTTTGGAGTTGGAGCTGAGCGTGATGAAACTGTCGTGCAAGCCCAAGAATCATCGCGGTGTTCATTGTGGATCGGTGAGGAGACGAGCGGACCAGGAGGAATGGATGACTCTCTACTGCCGTTGCTGCTTGTGCCCGTGCTCGTGCCGCCGCCGTTAGTAAGTCCGCACAATCGGAAGTGCGCAGACGCGGCGCCCTGCAGTGGTACCGTGCGCTGGACGGCGGATGCTGCTGCTGCGCGCGCCGAGATGCAGCTGGCAGCAGCACCGCCGCGGCTCGTACCGAGCCGGGACGCCCACAGCGTAGACCAGAGATGTGGCGGCATCGCCTGCACGAGCTCGCATTCGCGCTCGCGCGTGCGCTTGTGAGGGCCGGCGTGCGTAGACGGAGAGGAAGTTGGCTCGACGCCAGCGACGAATGGCGTGCCGCGGTCTGCATCTACTGCTTGGCCTTGAGCTTCGTCGGCTTCCATCTGCGGGCGGGGAATGACAGTACGAAAGAGATTCGCGCTCTTGCTCTGGCGGCGGTGGCGGGGCGCGCTGCTGCTTCTGCCGCTGCTGGGCGGCCCGCGGTGGTAGAACGCATGTGAGGATACTCTTTCAAGGGTGCCCGGAGGCGCCAAATCGCCGTAACATGAGCGCTCGGGCGCTTCGACTAGCGCTTGCGCGTCTGTCGTTTTTGTCGTCGTGGTAATGTCGCGAGCACTGAGCTGGGACGCTTGAGGCGCGGCGGAAGCCTCCTCTACATCATGAGCAACCGCTTCAGCATTGCCATGCACACCGAAGCCTCGACCGTATCCGTGCTGCTCGCTGAGCTGGTACGTCTCGGAGCGTCGCGCGGTCTCTGTGCTGAGGTGTGCTTCTCCGTGCCCCTTTTCGCGCCTCATGTGCGTGCGGGTATGCGCGGGCTCGCAGACGCCGTCCCTCGCCGCCGGGTCGAACGTCAGTCGCATTTGCATCTGTGTTGGGTGTTGCTTCCCCCGCTGCCGCTGCCTTTGCTCTGATGGTTTCTGGCTCGCTGCAGCGGCGAGACGGTCAAGTGCAGGGGTAAGCGCAGCCGGCGGGAAGGGTGCGAGGCGCAGCACAGCGCGGACCAGCGGCGGCTTCTCGCGCGTGCCCAGAAATGGGCGCGGGCCGCCGGCCTGTATGTCAGCATCGGCACGGTAGCGGGGCTGGCGCTGGGAGTAGGAGGCCGCCGCCGCCGCAGCGTAGCGTACCGTCGCGGCGCGCGCTTTGGCGCTGGCGTGTGCGTTGCGCGCCGCAATCGTGCTGTAGGCACCGAGGTGCGGCGCGGTGTGCGAGAAAGAGGGGAGCAGGAGGAGGATAGCGGCATGGTCCATGAGCAGGGGCAGATGGGAGTGGTAGAAGAAAGGCAAGGGAGTGGAAGGTAGGTGAGTGTATGCGCGGCGACACGATCAGAGGGGCGGGAAAATGACGTTTCCAATGCGCGAGAGTCAGAGACAGGGTTAGCCGCAGGGGCAAAGGAGAAGAGAAGCGTCAATCGATCAACGGTGCGCCAAGCTTCCGTTGGCAGGAAGCGAGCTGTATGCTGGTGATACCAGCCAGCCTGGCGGGGTAAAAGCAGGAGCAGGGGCACGGATGCCCGTTTGAGGCAAAAAGAAGGTGGGGGAAGCAAGGGACGTGGAAGCTGGTGGACGGATCAGCGCGTAACGCTCCTCACAATGGCGTCTCTATGAAGGAAATGTGTGCTTCTGGATCGTCATCGTCATCGTCATCGCCATCGCCACCATCTTCGCCTTTTCCCCTTGCGGTCTCTTGTGCCTGACGCTGCTGGCTGGTCCCTGACAGCACTCCTTGTTTCGCTATGGCTCCGGCGTCGACGTCATCATCGGAAGAGGGGCCGTCGGAGCAGACGTGCATGCCATCGCGAATGTTGGTGCACCATGCTGCGTTCATCACGGGGATGTCCTGCAAGGAGACGGGCTGCAAGAAGAGCGATGCGAGTTGACAGAGGGAGATACGCAAGCAAGTAGTGCGCCGTCCACGATGTATGCACGTGTATATAAGATATACACGGTCGGCCCTCTCCCATTTGGTACGGCTGGCAACAAACTAATATCCAAGCTGGGAAAGAAAGCAAGGTCCATATGATAATGCTTGGACCTCGGCTGGGGGTTTGAGAACACAACCCTACTTTGATCGCCACATAGATCTGTCTGTCGGGAGTTTGCAGGCCCTAGATATGAAGGAAGCCACCCCACCCAGGCAAGGGGGAAAAAGGGGGGAAGAGGCGAGTGGGGCCTTGCCCAGTCTGAGTGTGCTCTTTGCTTGACCGGCGCTCTGAGATATCGCTTCTTTTCACGTTGCTTGTGTTGAGCATGTCTGTAGCCGCACTCTGCAAGCACAGCCGCCGGTTGGAGTGTTTTGGGAGCGGGTGAGCTGCATAGCACGTAGTCGCGTTGGAGCTCTCTGGGCGTCTATCCGCCATCACGGCGGTGAAGTGACCAACTGAAAGGTCCGAGGGTGTGCACGGGCCGCTTATGAATGCGGAGAGCGAGGCGAGCGGACTGGCTGTAGATTCGTTTAGGGTTGTGGCCAATTGCCTGGGGCTGTTGAAAGTGGTGCAGGTGGCGGCGCCGTCGGAAAGCAGAGGGGCCGGGGGATGTTTGGGTGGGGCGACAGGCATGAGAGCACAGCCAACAATGTCCATGCACGAAACAACACCTCACACAGCCAGCCAAACTATTTTGAGCAGGGCACTACGGCTGTGTGACGCTGGCTGCAACACCGCACAGCCGTTTGAGCAGCGAAGGGTTGGTTAGTAGTGACTTGACTTGCTCTGCTGCAGGCAAACCACCAACACCCGTCGAGCAAGGCTGCATCAACAAGCACGCTCTCCATCGCCACACTTTTCTTTTTGTCGTCGTCGCCTTCTCATTCACTCCATCCTCTCACGTCTTTAGTGTACTCGTGTGCGCTGCAGAACAGCGCTCTGTATCCCCTTTACCCCCCGCCCTCGTCCAAGGCGCCTCGAGTGTGCAGCGTCAGGAAATACAGAAAGCGGGCGGTGAGTCGTGGATCGGTCGACCCCCTGTCGCTGCGCTGCGCTGCGGAACATTGTCCGCTGACGTGCCCCTCCTCTCTCTCCCCTTCCCTTCCTCGTCCCAGCACCACACATACACACATTCGCAAGATGGCGTCTGCAGCCGCAATAGCAGCAGCACAGCCATCCAACTCCACCTCACCACCGCCAGTACAGGATGCAGACGCCCTGGCGCTCGATTCGGTGGCGCAGACGACAGATCCGGACGTGCTACGTGCCACAATCGCCGCGCTGCGTACGGAGCTCGGCGCACGCGACGGGCAGCTCGCCACGCTGCGCGCCGACCTGGCGCTCGCCCGCCACACCCACGACGCCCTCCTCGCCCGCTCCGCCGGTTGGGCCGACTCGCTGCAGGAGCTCGCGGCGCGTGTGCCGCAACTGCAGGATGCGCTCGCGCGCGAGCAGGCCGCCCGCGCCGAGGCCGATGACCGCGTCAAGGACCTCCGCCTGCGTGCCGAGGAGAGCCGTCGCGCGTTCATGCGCCTCCAGGGCGAGTCCGAGAAGGAGCGCAAGGCTGCAGCTGCCGTGCGCCGCGAGTCTCACCGCAGGAGCTTCGGCTCCGTCGCACTCGCGCCCCCCGTCGCCGGAGCCTCGGTCAGCCCGCCAGGCGCTGCTGCGCCCGGCTCGCTCCTCGACGAAGAGGAAGCGAGGGAGCTCAGGAAGAGCAAGAGAGCCAGCCTCGCGTTTGGACCCAATGGCACCGGCATCTCCATTGCCTCACTCGCAGCCACTTTTGGCAGCGGCAATGACCCACCTCGCAGCGGCACCAGTGCCAGTGCTAGCGCCAGCGACCTGGCGACTAATGGCACGGGCTCCGTCAGAGGCCTCAAGGGCCTGTCGCTGCTCAGCGCCTCTCCTGCGCCCTCACCCTCCCCGTCGCCATCGCCGTTGCCCGCGCTGTTCGGCGCCGACAGCAAGGTGCACGCTCCTCTCGAAGCGCACGCAGACTCCGCCATTGCAGCGGGCGATGCATCGCATGCACGCCGCTCCTCGCCACCCTCAGCGCCTTCGGGTGCAGCGAGCCACGCAAACCGTCGTTACAGCAGCGGCAGCAGTACACATCACGATGCCGCCGCCGGCTCGGAGCTCGAGCTCTTCGTACCCGGCGCGGGATTGGGTTCCCGCGACAGCCTTGCGGGCAACGGCCTCGGCCTCTCCGGTCACCTGTCGCCCGCGCCGTCCACTAGCGCGCTGTCCTCTGTCGGCAGCCCCATCCTCGAAGGCCACGAGGAGGATGAGGCCGACGGTGAAGGCCACGATGGTGATGAGGCCTCTGTGGAGGGTTCACGGAGACACACGTTGTCGCTGCCGTTGCAGCAGCAGCAGCGCCGACAGAGAACAAGAGAGGAGCAGCAGCAGCAGGACGATGGAGAGGAAGACTCCGACTCGAAAGCCGCTCGCAGGCGTAGCGCCATGATGGGTGGCGGCGGTTCGCTGATGTTTTCCAGCACGCCAGGTGCGCCCGGCTCGGGCCCAGGCTTGGCCTCCGTACCTGCTTCGACGGCCGGCTCGACGCTCGCGACGATGCGGCTCGAGGCGCAGCTGCAGGCCAAGCAGGCCGAGGTCGAGCGACTCAAGCTCGAGATGACTGGCCTGCGCGCACACATGCACGAGGCGCACGAGGCCCGACTCGCCAGCGAGTCCTGCCTCAAGGCGCTCAGGGCGTTCATTGCCGAGGGTGCGGGTACCACCGGCATAGCACCCTCCGCGCCGGAAAGCCTCGCTTCGGCATCTGACGCGGCAGGCGCCGACCGCCTCGGCGCGGCGTTCGACCTGAAGGAGGTCAAGCTGCCCCCACTTCCCACCGACGCCGATGCGGACGAGCTCAGCGATGATGACCTCGCCCACACCCCGTTCCATGCGCAGCACGGCCGCCTCCCGCCTGCATCCGCGTCCGCGTCGTGGTCCGCGTTCAAGACGCCGTCCAGCAGCAGCGGCGCCGCGCATTCCAATCCCCCGACTTCCTCGGCGACAACGTGGGGCTTGCGCCTGTCTACGTTCCCAAACATGATCCGCAAGACCACCGCCGACTCGACGGATAGCAGCGGCAGCAGCAGCGGTGGCGGTGGCGGCACGCAGGCCGGCCTGCTCAGCGCCAGCAGCAGCAGCAGCGGTGGCGCATTATCTGACGCCACGACCATCGAGAGTCACGGCACCAGCGCCAGAGAGGAGGACTGTCAGCCTGGAATTGTATCTGGAACGGGGACATCGCTCGGCGCAGTTCCGTCCTCGTCCAGCACTGCCGGCGCATCGCTGAGCAGCCTGTGGAATCGCACTGTCAACTCGGTCGCCGCTGCGCGCGACAGCGCCATTGCCGCCGCCGCCTCTTCCTCATCTGCATCGGCAAATTTAAATGGAACCTCAGCCAGCGACAACTCTGCGCATATTTGCGACTCTCCACAGCGAACACGCTCTGCATCGACTTCCACCGCAGCTTCCACGCCTACAGTGGCGTCTCCATCGGACCTGGCTGCCAATGCTGCGTCGCCACCTGGTGCTGCGGCTGCTGGGCCAGCGGCGTCCGTTAGCTCGCCTGGATCAGGCAGCAGCGGAGGCGGCGCAGCAGGCGCGCTCAAGAGCCTCGGTGGCTGGTTCAATAAGCGTCAGTCGTTTGTGGCGCCGGCTTCCGCCTCATCATGTCCGTCGCCGCTTCCGAGCGTGACGCCTGCCTCGGCCACTTCTGCCAGCTCGGGCGATGTGCAGGGTGCAGTCGAGGAGGAGGAAGAAGACAACGCGCTGACACCCGTCACGCCGCAGCGCAGAAAGATGCCGTCGCCGCCATTCGCGTCGCTCGACCTCGCGGAGCCGAACAGGACGCCGACCAGCGCACAGCCGTCTGCGTCGCGTTTCCCGTCGCTGAACGGCCCCGCCAGTGACAGCAAGGACGCGCCGCTCAAAGAGGACGCAGGCGTCCTCGGCGACGGCAGCAGCTCCCATTCTGCGGCAGGTACAACGACGAGCAGCAGACTCTCGGCGCGCAGCGCGGCGCTCGCGCGTCTGATGAACTCCAACCCTCAATTTGACGCTGACGCAGCGACATCGTCGCAGGCATCCACGCCGACGCAAGCGAAAGCGCCTTCGCTGTCAAAGTTGCCGACGGTGGTGCCGAACGCTAGAGCCCAACGCGCTCAGCAACGCTCGGCTAGCGTCACGTCCGACGAGGGGTTCGTCCCGCCTACCTTTGATTAAGGAGGCGTGTGTCCGCGACCGATGCAAATGTCCTTTCGCAGCGCTTCCCTTTGTTCCAGTGTGTCCTGTTTTGATAAATCCGCCTTGCATGTTTAGCAGCACATACCCCCTCTTGTAATTCATCGGAAAGTATCAGTGAAAGCTTGCAAATACAGAGCATTACATCTTCACCTATGACTGTACGCGGTGCTTGTGTGCATGGGCTTTCTAAGTATTTACACACGGTGACCTTTGAGCTTGAAACGCCAGAAGAGCACGCCGGCGAGGATACCGCCAATGTGAGCGGCCGAGTCGATGGGCCCACCCGGTCGGAACCAGGCTTGTGAGAGGTCCCATACGAAGATGCCGCTTATGCACGCCCATGCGGGGATGGGGATCACGAAGAAAAGGAGGAATGTTGTCTGATGGTTGCCAGGATCGTTACGTGTGGCGGCAAAGGGCGATGTGATCAGTAAGGTTGCACATTCCAGGCCCGAAGGTAATGATGCTTACCCTTGGAGACATGCACGCAAACGTGCTCAGAATGGCGTACACTGAGCCGCTGGCGCCATGACTAGCTCTCTGTTGAGGACTGCCTCCGTTCGCCGCCCTCACTTGAGGACTGTGCATGCCTCTGCCGAGCCAAGGGCTGACGAAGCGGTTCCACGCGAGGCTGACGAGCGCCGTTGCGATCCCAGCGCCAAAGTAGAGGCTCAGGAAGGCCGTATTGCCAATGTGCATGACCACGTGGCTACCCATGAAAGCGAGTGACTGGATAGTAGGCAGATTCGTCATCAGTGAAGCTCAGAAATGGCATGCTTTGACGCATTGACGCACCAGCATATTCAGCAAGAAATGCGTGCTGTCCTCGTGGCTGATGCAACTCGTGAGCAACGTCCAGATCCGCCCCTGTGCAAGATTCATTTCTCCGAAAAGAAAGTTCTTGCACATGAAAATGTATGCCTTGGGATCGTTGAACTTCCTAAACGACTCTGTGCTGTACTGCCACGCCGCAAAGACGAGCGCATTGAGCGCGATGATGGCATAGAGGACATAGTTCGGGCGAATGAAGTTGATGCGCCGCGCGAGCGAGGCTACTGGATTCATTGTTGAGCGCGACGATCTAGAGTAAAAGGAGCCGCCTGGCCGGTGCTGGTATGGCCTTTGGCCTTGGGCAAAGAGAGCCCCGAATGGATTCATGAGAAGCATTACTGTCCAACGCCCTATCCTTCGGATGGATCGGGGTTGATGAGGAGATGCCAGGAGATCCCGTGCCTGTGCTAGCACGGTATTTGGGAGAGGTAACTCATGGGCAGGATGTGCAGCAGCCTTCGAGCATTCTGACGCTGATCGGCCTCCTAACGAGCTCGAGAACCGGCTCAGTGAGAGTATCGAGGAGCACCTGCGCGCAGGCGTGTCCCGTTTCATGCGTCGGATCGAATGAGCAATCATGCTTGGCGCCGCGCAATTCTGCGGCAATAATCTTGACGGATAGAATGATCTGCTGCAACCTAGGCTGGCTTCTACGTATGAGATGGTGCGCCTGTGTACGACTGATGGAGGGGCTTGCACGGTGGTCTGAAAGCGACGGTTGAACGGTGGGGTCACCGCGCCTCGCGAATGGGAGAGCACGTCAACCGGGTCCATCTTCTCGGGCCTTGCAAAGAGAAACATCTTTGCTGAAGGGCTAATAGCCTCCGTCCCTCTTTGGAGCAGCAGCCGGGGACTTGCGGCCATCTTGTCCAGCTGAGCAGTTGATCCCTGCAGCCTCTCAGTTTGGGTCGCAGAGCGGGGACCTGCTTTCGTGGACCAAGAGACAATAGGTCGCAGCTTGATGTGCGTTGCAGTTGATCTCTATTTCTCGAGCAGGCCAGCTCCGCTTTATAACGGGGCCAAGCTGCTTGATACCTGGGGCGTAGGGGTGTAGTGAGATATCTTGAGATTTGCGGTAATGTCAATGGACGATGATCGGCTGCACGAAAGGTTAGGAGGAATTACGTAAGCCACATTACTCTTGACGTCAGCTACTTCGTGATGCCCTTCTGATTTTTGGCATCAGCCTGACGATGTTTCCTCATGACGCCCACCACTCACGCACGCGGCCTTGGGTAGGATTGGGCTCATCACGGGAGACTTTACTTGCCACGAGACAGCGGATAAAATTTGAAGTGCAGAGAGCGATCGTGCGTACGTAGCATGCAAGCAATTTCAGTGACTATGCGCCGCTCGCAACTAGCGTTACCCAAACGCCACCACAGGCAAGTAGTCCGCACGGCGGTGGCCAGGCATGCGACGCCAACGCCAGCTCCAACGCCTCATAAAGGCACCGCAACATGCAGATCGATACACATGAGCACTTTTCGGCAGGATGTACGAGAGCCGGCACTGGCAACACCAAGCAAAAGATTTGAAGTACCACCGACTGCTGGGCCTCTCGGGGGACGCAGAGGACCGCGCGTCGGGACTTTGTTCTTGGGGTGAGTGCACAGGCAGCAATCCTGACCGCCGTGCATGTGGGCTGATTTTCATGTTAAATTACCTATTTTCAAACTTACTGTGGGACAGCCTGACAGCATTTGGCCTTGGAGTGACGGCCCTAGGCCTGATCGATTACTTTGGAACTTTCAAGACGTGGCCCAAAGAAGTGCGGGATGATCTTCGCGTCGCCCTCAAAGCACGTAACCGTGGTGACAGTCGCCGAGCAGAGGCACACTTTAGAAGGTGAGTCAGGACTTTGTGCGATGCGTTACCATGGAGAGAACAAGCGCTGAATAATGCTGTCGTGTCGTCACTTAAACACCAAGAGCATTGGCTACAGCGCGATCACTTCCTCCACAGGCACTGGGCTCGGAACGGCTGCTCAAGATCTCAGGGTTGAGCATTGCGCTCGGCAGCCTGCTCGAGGCAGAGCACGAGTACACGGCAGCCTATCAAGTCTACGCCGAGAGTCTGGACGAGGTCCTTGGTCAAGGCAGCTTTGGATCTGCGCAAGCAGCGACGCACCCTGCTGGTTTCAATTCCGACTCTGACTCTTCTAGAGGGCTCAGTCCGCAAGAGCGCCTGCGTACTGTGGCGCTTGCACAGAAACTGGGCGATCTCGCCAGCAGCGGTATGATCACCGATGGCTTGTCGACTGTCACGCAATCCGCGGGGCCCTCGGCCGCTGCAGCGACGATGGACGATTTGGTGGAGCAGCACTATGTCTGGTCCGTCGAGGAGCTGCTGCGTCTCGTCATGAATGACGAGCAACGCCGCAAGGCGATCGCCGACGCGGCTTCTGCTGATGCGACGGGCGGCGGCGTCATGCTCTCGGAACTGGGGTTGCCAGAATGGATCTCGCCTAGCGACCTGGGCGGCAGCCTCGAGGCGCTCGCCGGGTTCTACACGCGCAAGGGCAAAGCAGATCTTGCCGTGCCGCTGTACCTGCAAGCTCTGTCACTTCTGATGCCCCCGTCATCGCCGTCTTCATCAGAACCGCCGAGGCCCCCTCCGACAGCGAGCGAGCGATGTCGCGCGGGAGTATTGATGAACAATCTCGGGCAGCTGCTCGTCGATGGACAAGGGCCGAAGGGCGGAGCAGATATGACTGTGGACAAGCAAAAGGTAAAGCAGGCGATCGCGTGGGTGCAAAAAGGCTTGGACGTCGTACAGAAGACGCAGCGCTTGGCGGGATGGGAACAGTTGCAGCAGGGTCCTTCTTCACAAGGAGCGGCTGGAGGGAAGGCAAAAGAGGTTCTGCAGACCTCAGACGCGAGGACGCAGGAGGTGTGTCTGGAGTGCGCGGCAGCGGAAGTGGCACTGCTTTACAATTTCGGCGTGATGAGCGAGGTGAGTTTGGACTGGCATGTCGCACAACAGACGTGCAGAGCACTGAAGCTGCGCTGCGGCTTTCCTTTCAATACCTCTTCAAACCTCCACCCACCCCTTTCCTGCCGCTCAATACGATGTTGACCCCACACAAGATGCTGAACGACACATGCAAAGCACGCGAAGCGTATCAGCGAGCCTATGCGCGCGCTGACCAGCACCAGATGCGAAATGCGCGCAACAAGAGTGCGCATGCGCTTATGAAGCTCGAGCGGCGCAGCGGTGGTGGCAAGACCGCGTAGGTCGCCGCGGCTGCGGCCAGCAAGGACGATTGCAGGGTAGACGATGATAGCAGACTGAATTCTCTCACACATAGCATAAGGTACGGAGGATCGAGAATATGTGTGCGTAACGATTGTAGTTGTAGTTATAATTGTAGCTGTCGCCGTCGCCGTCGCCATCGACCCAGACTTTCTACCACTGCTGCGGCGGCATCCAGCACCGAGGCCCTCGTCGCAGCGCAAGGCCTTGGCCGCGGACGATAACGATGCATCATAGCGATAGCATGTATGTGCTTGCATGTCAGCAGGCGGACCGATGGCTGAGTCCTGATAGGGCCACGCCGCGCCCAAGCATCTGCACGGCACACAGTGGCCCACGAGGTCCGGGCCTCTGCAACAAGAAGAGGTTCGCAACCCTGCGCGCTCCACCCATTTATGCAATCCCTAGTTGATAATAGTAAGCGTTGCTGGTGGAACTAGACACGTATTAGCAACAGTTTCTCTCTGTGGATCAGTCTGTATAGAGTTTGGCACGTCTGAGGCAAAGGTCGGTGCAAGTGGCCTGGTCGGGTATAGTATTACGTACGAGAGAGTGCACGTGGGGCGACAGCGGCGTGGTGCTGACAACGACTTCATACGACTTGGGGGGAGCGGGGGGTGGCATCGCTCTCAGGGGTCGTCGTTTTGGTTGAGGCACCCTCTCGCCAGTCAAGTCGCGCAGTGCCGCCGCCGTCTCGCTCATAGCCAGTGAGGCCCAACGCTCCTCAGCCTACTTGCATTAGCGCGCGCGTTACCTTGAACATGCCATATGCTCCTGCAAGGTGTGTGCATATATCACCACCAAGCAAGCAAGCACAAAGATCGTCCGCTGGCGTCCTTTCTCCTCCGCGTACGAGCTGTGCCCGAAACCGGACGGAACGCGAGGCAAGCAAAGCCTCCGGCCATCCAGCACATCTCCATTGTCCGCTCATCTCCGTGCCCAGTACCAACGAGGCATCCCTGCAAGTCTGCAAGAGTGCTATCGGGTCCTCCTTCTCTTATCCAGCCTGGACCCCGAGCATCACGCCCAGGTTCAGGTTCAGCTGTATACACACAAGCGCCGAAGGTTTCCACTCAGTGCTTGTTTGTTCGACAACACCCGTGTCGGCATTGGGATCTCTCGTTGCGCAACGCTCGCGACCGAAGGTAAGCTGTCGTCCGGTTTGGTCTGCGTCCTGCTCCCGCGAACCGAGCGATGCTTTGCAGCTTGCAAATTGAGCTGCCCGAGCCTTTCGGGTGGTAGATAGGGAAAGAGGCAGAGAAACAGAACTCGCTGCAAAGGAGGAAGAAAGGGCACGGAGCGGATGCTCATGTCACAAGCACATCCCGAGTCCAGTCTCCTCGCTCCAATTCCTTGTCCACTCTCGCTTAATGCGCGCAGAGCATAAATGGATGATGCACGATCTCCGGAACATGGTCCGCCATCGATGGTGGCATTGGCATCGCAATCACTTCTGTGCGCACATCGCCTGAGGGGGGCCAAGGGGCAGGAGGGCCTGGAGGTGGATCTTCAGCATATGGGCATGCTTGACCTCATTCGTCTTGTCTGCATGGCAGCAATGCAATAAACACAAAAAAGGGTGGAAACAAGGAAAGAGACCAAGGAGCTTGGTACGAGATGGAACTCAATCATCTTTCGTGTCATCTCATCTCATGATGCGATGTCGCGCGCAGGCACGTCGCCTACTTGGAAAGGATGGACTTAAGGATCAGGGCCTGGCCTCAGCCAGTCTCCTTCAGGTTTGCGTCCATGCTAGAAAATCGGAACGAAGGCCTGCGGGAATGATCACCATCAGGGCTAGGGCTCACACTCCTTTGTACCAAATCGGACGATACAACAGTCTCGATGCGACTCGAGGCTATTAATTCCTTCGAAGATTCAAAACACGCAGGCCTCACGCTGACCGAACAGCCTTCCTTTCTTTTCCCCATTCCTGCTCTGATTTCACTGCCTGACCCCATTCCACACTCGCCAACGCGCCGTCATTTCTATACTACCCACGGCTCCCGCTACCTCGACCTCGACCTTCGCTCCTACCCCGGTCAATGTGGATGCTTTCTGCGATATGACACCGCGCTCGGCACCGGCCCAGATCTGGACTGACAAGTGCAAGTCCATTAGCGACCCTTTCCCCCTACCCCACTCGATCGGTGCTGCCGCTACCAAGCTCGCTGCCAAAGCTTGGCGCTTGGATTCGGTGGACGACGCGGCGCGCCATCTGCATCAAAGGGCCGCTGTGAATTTGGCGAGAAAAGCTCGCTTCCCCACGCCGGTGTCTATCCTGCTGCTGAAAGAGCAGGCTCAGATCCCATAGCTGCGGAAGTCTTGAAGGACTACGCCGCAGCTTGTGCAGTAGCAGCCAGAGCCACGAAGTCTCCCTGTCCGTAGCTTCCTCCTTGCCTCCAAAAGGAGCAGAGCTTCCCGACGCGGCATCATGAACTTCATCTTTAAAAGCAAGCAGCGCACGCCAGCCGAGCTGGTCAAGCACCTGCGCGACACGATCGCGCGCCTCGACAATGGCTCGTCATCCAATGCCAACAACAACTCTTCGTCCAACGGCAACGACGCGGCGTTAGCGTCCTCGTCCGCCGGCGGGCCGTCGCATTCCAATGGCGCAAACGGCGGCGCAGCCACGCAAGGGAGTGGAGGCGGCGGGAGCAGCGACAGCCGCCGCAAGGCGTCCGAGGACATCAGCAAGACGCTCTTCCAGATGAAAGCCATCCTCTATGGCGACGGCGAGAACAACGAGCCACAGCCGGAGATGGTTGCGCAACTAGCGCAAGAGGTGTACAACCACAACATGCTCCAGCTGCTCGTGCAGAACATCTGGCGCTTCGAGTTTGAGGCTAAGAAGGACGTTTCTCAGATCTTCAACAACCTGCTACGCAGGCAAATAGGCTCACGCCTCCCCACCGTCGAGTACCTCTCCCAAAAGCCCGAGATCATCTTCATCGCGCTGCGTGGATACGAGAACGCCGACGTCGCCCTCAACACGGGCATCATTCTCCGCGAGATGCTGAGGCATGAGCCGCTCGCGAAGATCCTGCTCCATTCAGATAAGTGAGTTTCCGGTTCGCGCCGCAGTTGCGTGGTTGGGGACCCATTGCTGACCCC